GTCCAATCGTCAGATTTCGTTCAGGTGTTGACACTCGATGCGTATCTTGCTTTATCTATCATATAGCAAAAATTGTGACTCCCTGCGTTCAGTGGGGGCCGAGAAACGTCTTCCGTAAGTCCGAGATGCGGACTATTAACTTGGGGCATTTGTCAGCGCTGTATATCAGTAAGTTTTTCTCCTGGTCTAATACGGTTGCATGTGTTTCCTAATAGAACCACGAGGATGATTGGCATTAAAAGTTCCTCTCGCTGTGTTGCCGGGTGTCCCTAGAACTTTTTATAGCCTATCTTAATACATGAGCATAAGCTGGATTTTCTGACATCTCGGGGCGTTGTAGCCTCGTAGTGGACCGACTTCGTGCAGATCTTATTAGTGCTATGTAGGGTCATGTGAGGGTCGAGAATGCTGCTACATGCATTCAAAAATTTAAATATCGGTTTTTGGGAAAGTATCAATAATGACGTTAAAACCTTAACTTTCTCTAAATTTTGATGGTTCTGATTCGTTCATCTTAGGCTAATAATCACTCAACTGCTTTTAAACTATCGTAGCGTACAATTCTAAAATCTATAAAAGCAAGGTAACGCTGTCCACAGCGAATTTACTATTAGTTGACTTCACAGTAGAAACACCGATTCTAGAAGTGCACATCTCAAAAACCCACGAGAAGTGCTCGTGATAGAGATCCAGCTCCATTAATGGCAACTTTCAGACATCCGTCGAAATAGGCTTCATAAATCAAAATTGAGTGAATATCTTTCAAACAAAAAAGCATCCAATTCACATCATTTAGCGTGATCTTTATTCTTTACACCCGAGTAAGTTCAGTATCAAAATAAAGCAATTGCAATTTTAGATAATCTTTATATTCATATTTTATATTGAACCCAGGTGGTTACTGATTTTGCGCGGAAAAAGAAACTTAAAAGATAAATGAATATAAAATTCCTTCCCGCTTTGTGGCCAGATTAGTTATAAAAACAGTTAACAGAGATTGTCAGGTGAAATCAGATAAAGTTCATCAACTTGCAGCTTCTAGAAAACCTACTATCTACTACTGGGTTCAATCATTAAAGATATTTTTTTCCAAATTGTATAAGGTCAAAGTGAGTTTTTTACGACCGACACTACAGCGTAGGGCGATTGTTCATTTCCCATTTGGATTACCACAAAGAAATCTCGTAGGGCGTCATGTGTGGTGTCGTATTACAGTCCCATTGGTCATGCTTGTTCGCCAAAAAATCGAAAACTTTTAGTAACCGACTCTACTTAATATTTTTAGCTTCTCTTGCTTTTAGATTGCTTGGTTTTCAACGCAATTTGGAAAAATTCAATTTTTTGAAGTCGAACCCAGTGAATTTTATGTATCCTGCAGCTTTTAGTTTACGGATACTTGATACTTTCATCTTCAAATCTGTTTGAGATGTATTTTTGTTCCGTTTCCGACAACAAGGTTAACAAATTTAGCTAAATTGTTTCTTCTTTTTGGCGGACATTTGTTGTTGAAGTGAAAGCGAGACTTCATTGCCGAACTCAATGCTCTAAATTCAAGGCAAACTAACAAAATACACAAAAACTACAAATATTGTTTAGAACACACGTGCAGGCTAATCAGCATACCGATTCAGAACTAACAACTGCGTACAATTTTATTTCAGAAAAGATTAGACAAGCTGGTAAGGATAATTTGAAAAACAACCTTGCGGAAACTAAGCTGCACGCAGTTAAATTTAAAAAATGAATTGAGAAAAAAACCGGCTGAATTACTAGGTATACACCAACAGAAACAAGACTGCTCGTATCAGGGGAAGCCTTGAACATTCCGACTACCTTTTAAGGTTTATGGAGCAGTAAAACATGAAAAAAAATAGATATAAAATAAAACCTCAGACAACTTTTTTCTTCAGACAAATTTCATTTTGATAAAATAAAACAATATGTTTCCGAAGAAAATAAAACCACCCCGAGCACAAATATTCTGTTACTTTCGTTACGAGACCTAGTCGATCAATGAAGGTTATCTTGCAATATCTTGCTAAATGAGGGTTATCTTGGAAGATAGAGGTTATCTTACAAGATGGAAGTTATCTATTACAAGATCTTGCAAGATAACAAACTATGAAATTTTTCCACAAAACCTTATTCTGAGCGCCAGAAAAAAATTAGGGAGATCCAATTTGACTACGGTCACAAAAAATTCTGAGTTTAAGTTCGGATAAACAATTTAGGTTAAACAAGTGTTAAAACTGTTCATATGTTTGCTCAGTTTTCATTTTTCGTAAGGTAAATAGTTTCACGTTGTCGTTATAACTTATGCATTTCAAATTAAGATTTTTAAAAACGTATTTTTTTTGTTTTAATGGAATTTTTCCTCTATTTTTGCAACTCTTGCGGTTAAATTTCAATTTTTTTTAAATTTTAATGATCAGATTCAATTAGCTTCAGATACTTTGTATGTTGTTTTCACATAAATCCGATAAAAAATTATGTTCATCTTATTATGACATTATATTTTTCTTTTATTTGGTTGGTTTGTTCAAGTATTCAAATGTTTTTACTTGTTACTGGTATTGCTTCCTTCCTACACTTTAAAATTGTACGAAAGTTACTGCTGCATAATTGTTTGAAAAACAAAAAAAACGCCAATGATTATGATTGCTCGAAAAATGTCCATTGAACTGTAGTCATTAGCTTCTAAAAAGTTCAAGAGAAAATTGTTTTTAATCAGGGGTTAAAATACGCTGGCTTGTCGCAAGTGTCTGAAAAACTTTTTAAAACTTTACGACGCAAAAAGAACGTAATAGAAGCCTAAAGAGAACGAAATGCTATCGGAATATTTTGTACCATGCAAAAAAAATTCAAGTTTTCATGCAATCGAAGTTTTCTTTCGCACAAATTAAAGAAAAACTTCAAGTATGTATCATGTAAAACTTGAAAAAACAAATAAAACTCTGTTTACCAGAGACACGCTGTGTAAAGAACACACTGATAACTTTCTGGTTTGTAAAGTATCATAGACCAAAAAGCTTGTCTCAGCGCAATTAGAAATGATTTCTCTTCCGCCTTATATCGCCGCTGACAAGTTAACAGATTTAAATAGATCGCTCGTTAATTATCGTGTCAGGACATTTGTGTCCCAGACATTTATGTCCCGGCAAAAACAGTCCAAAATGCAAAAAGTGTCCAAGACATTTGGTTCCCAGACAAAATTGTCCCAAAATTGTCCAGGCTATTGCCACACTAGTTAATGACCGGATTAATTTGATAAGCTCTCAATAGGAAGGATTAAATCGATAAGGCCACGCAACTGAGCACTTAGACCAGAAATTACTTCGCCTAGCATATTAGAGACGAAATTAACACAGGACTCAAATCATTTACACATACCTACACAATTATTGCTTGATTGATAATGTTGCCAAACGTAGACACGAGAGATCATAATTTCATTGTTATTGCTCTCGAGTTCGTGTTGACAATGGAAATTCTTATGACAAATAAAAACAACGAAATGCTAGTTTATGATGCATACGCATACTTCAAACATCGGATTCTAACAGACACCTCAACTTCGTGGCGATGTATTTTATCGAAATGCAATGGCCGTGTGCGCACTTTCCAAGATAACGTCACTATCATAAATGAACACAGTCATTTTCCCGATCCAGCCGATATTGAAAAACGAAAATTCAGGACAGCTCTCAAAACAAGAGCAGTTGTGTCAGATGAGCCACCCCGTCAAACAATTCTTTCCGTACAAAGAGACATCAACAGAGAGACTGCAGCAGTAATCCCGAGCTATTCTGCCAACCAGAGGACAATTAATAGAGTCAAACAGGAAAAACGGCCCAGAATGCAGGAACCCCAATCCCTAACTGATTTTGAACTGCCAGAGTTGCTGAAAGTGACACACAGCGGCGAGCGTTTCCTTCATTTTGACTCTGGACCTAATGATACCAAGCGAATAATGGTTTTCACCACTCTTCCGGGACTCGACATTCTCAGTGGCGCTGATGATTGGTTCTGCGATGGCACCTTTTCTACGGCCCCGACTGTGTTTTTTCAGATATACACCATCCACGCTTCAGTCGAGGGAATTCTGATTCCTATTGTGTATGCATTGCTTCCAGACAAGAAAGAAGAAACGTATTTTCGACTTTTGAGCTGCTTCGACATTGAATTCCCTAAACGAGCCACCATTGATTTCGAAATAGCGGTCAAAAATGCGTTCAATTCAGTATCCAAAAATGTACAAATTCAATACTGTTATTTCCATTTGAGCCAAAGCGTCTGGCGTCACATTCAGACTACTGGAAACACAAACAACTACAGACTAGATCTGGAAATCCGAGAGCATGTCCGAATGCTGCTGAGTATCGCTTTCCTGCCTGTAAGTAATGTTTCTACTACTTTTGAAACTCTTCAGAAGACATGCCCTGAGACAGCCCACCCAATCTTCAATTACTTTGAGGACAATTACGTTGGTCGGCTCTCGGCGGCAAATGGAACTCGTCAAAACCCCAGATTTGACGTTGACAGCTGGAGTTGTCATCAACGTGTAATAACCGGGCGACCCAGAACCAACAATGCTGTTGAAGGTTGGAATAGCAACTTCGTCAAACTCGTGAATGGCAAGCACCCATCATTTCCCAAACTCATAGAAAAATTTCAAGACGAACAGAAAAACGCTGAAATCTTGATCAAAAAAATGTGTGCCGGGCAAAGAGTGTCACGTTATAAAAAACCTCTTTATGTCAAACTTGACAAAAATCTTGCACCGTTAATTATACCAAACTGTCAATTTCAAATACTAATAACTTTACGAAAAACAAACGCAGGTATTTTTTTAATTTTGAGCTTACGGCGTCGATAATTTAGATGATAAAAAACTACATTAGCCTAAGTTTATATCCTCCGCATAAATTGTATTTTAGCGCCGGATTGTATTTTTAAATTGTAATAAAAACGAACATAAGAAACACAAAAACGTGCGACTACGGTTGGTAAAAGCGAACTCGTAATACAACGAAAAGCGTTTGCTTTCCTGAATATGTTTAATACAGGGAAGATAATGTTCTCATCAATGGTGGCGTTGTTTTGCGATACATTTTGAATTCAAAAAAATCTGTATAAAAATATAACTTGATATATTTTCAATAGTAATTTACAAAAACTTCAAATAAAGAATCAATCTTTTTGAATTACCTCATTTTTAAAAGTCTGAGGACCTAGTAGACCAATTCAATCAAAGAATTCTAACAGCTAATATCTCTCTAAGTCAGACTAAGAAACTATTTCAGCCTCATTCTTTTATAAGCCCCGGTTCATTGGTTATTTAAATCTGCTGCTACATTAACAGCAGATTGTTTTCCGCGTATCTTTTGTAGTGTAAATTAATACCGAAGGTGTGAGTTTCCTTCACGTTCCCATTTTCAACAGCATCATACGCTACAACTTGACCCCCTGAAATGAATTCGTAGTCTTCTGAGAAGTACATTTCATAGCGCCACAATGCATCACCTTGCCAGTCGGTTGGATGCCACTCTATATCTCCTCTAAAAGTTCTCGCTTCTTCATTCAATTCGCAATTTATGAAATACTTTTTCTCCGGAGGTCGTTCACCGTTTGCCAAACTGGGCCAGAACTTACACCGATCACTCTCGTAAGAAATGTAACAATTGTCAGGCACAGAGTCAAAATGATAGGATGCCAAACCGAGAGTTCCGCCTTGAATATAAACACTGCCCTCAATTTTGTTAGCCCTTTTCAGCAAAAACTCGCCGCTTTCAACGATCTTCAAGACATAAGCGTTAATCGGAGTCCGACAATAGGGACAAGTTTTATTTTCTGACAGAAGAACAGCAATAATACAACTTTTGCAGAAAAAATGCCCGCACGGAGTTTCACAGGGCGACATTAAAGAGTCAAAGCAGATAGGACAGATCAAAGAATGAGTTCGCCGAAACTTTTCCACTTGTTGATCGTTTGATTTTAAAGTATAGCATTTGTACTTGAGATCGGATCCGTATTTGTATTCAGCTTTCAAATGAGTTTTGGCTGAGTCTGAATACACCTGACACTTACCACGTTCAATTGAACTAATATATCGTCCGGAAGATTTCAAACAATTACTATTTTGCAGCATATTTGCCAAGTTTTCAAGTCTCGATGGAAGATTGCATGTTAACTGTCCTTAACCTGAGTAGAGCTCTTGTATTGTTAACTTCTTGCAGAATTTCATTAAATAATTGCTCCTCAAACCACTAAAACACAGAAATCCTATTTTCTGTACAACTTTTCTTTTTTTTCTCGTATGCTTTTAACACACCTTTCAGATTTGTGTAAGGAAATAACTCATACAAAATTCAATTATTACTAAACTTGCTTGAAATCTCCCTGAAATCTTCAGAAAACTGCATTTCATAAACCCAAAATTCACTGTTCTCATCCGAGTTTTCCTGCGGAGGAACTATTTGACCATAGAAGATTCTTTCATCTTTCATGTATTGAAAATGATCAAATATCATTTTCACAGAAGCCCAGCTGCTGTTATCTTCGTTCTGTTCAGAATTTCTGGAGTCTGCAATCTCGATATAGCATTCATCTTCTGATACAAAATGATAAAATGTCTGGCCTTTTTCATCGGCAAATGTAGCCCCAAAAACGGTTGCCGGTTTACAATGGTCTGTTTCTATGTCCCCAGACTCATTCGTCATCTTAAAATAATTTAGTTCAACATCATGACCACCTCAGAGCTCGATATGTAATTATTATATGCAACTAAGTGTTATGCCTATCGAAACAATAAAATTAGTACATTGCATAATACAAATCGATGCTCAGATGTAATTGGCGTACATAATAAGCCGATTCGGCTAAAAATTGGTTTTCGAATGCTCAAAAAATTGGGTGATTCAACACGCTGACACAAGTCAAGATTTTCGTACTGCTGTTTTATCGATTCAACAACTGGTGCTTTTGCTGGTGAACTTATGCCCCGAGGCATTTAACAAAGACCATAAGACAATTCTTCCATATACTATAAGAAACTTTGTAGTATAAAAAATAAACCACCTGAAAGCTTTATGAATTTTTAGATTGACACTTTTTGGCTAAAACTGACCCAATTCGAGAAAATTATATCAGTAGGTAATTTTGTACACGTTCCCAATCCCCACACCATCAAATGTTGTATTTTTTGCATAGAGGTGAAGCTGAGCTTCTCACCACTTGCGACACACAAATCTACAAACTCCAAAACGCCAAAAATAACAACACCCTAAATGATTAAATATTTGTTTCAAACTGAAACTCATTTTGATGAAGACCTGTTGCGGAACCTAGCAGCCAATATTGAAATAGCTTTTAGACTTCGAATTGCGCTACACATTGAGCTTCAAAATAGTCAGTGGAAAAAAGACAGTCAAATAAATTCTGAAAAATTCAGTTAAAAAAATTACTTGAAAATTTAAATAGAAAAATTGGAAAAATTACAGCTACAAAAACTTCATGGTGGTATCAGATGACGTTCATAAACAGCCTCAAAATACACTTGAAAATCTTTCACCGAGCAACAACAATGGGCAATTTAGAAATTGAAATCAAAATTCGAAGTTGAAATCACTTCAATTTCCTTTATGCCAATTTCAATATCGCATTGAAGCGCTTAGAGTTTGACTTCTTTTTAGCAAATAAAAAATGAATTTCAAAAAAATCAAAGTCAAAATCAAAACGCAAGAAATCGAATTGCGCGTGAACATATTCGTCGAAATTTTCCTGAAAAAACCTTTCCGACCTTTCTGGGAGTCTTCACTGCTTTCGTTGACACTAACAATTGAAACATAGCCAGCATACAGTTGACAAATACTCAGTTAATGCAAGGAAACAAAAAAACTTGCTTGTTGTTTGAAAAAACTTTACAATTTCTAGGGAAAAAATTATGGCCTTTAAGCGCTTTTAATTTCAACCATTTACAATTGACATCTTTTTGATAAAATTCACCCAATTTGAGAAAAATAGACCAACATGCACTATTTTTAATTCGCCGAAAAATTTAAAACATAGCCAATCGAAGATTAGAAAAGAGTAATGAACGCAAGTAAACAAAAAAAACACTGACTTTCTTGAAAACAATCTCAACTTTCGAATTTCAAAGAAAAAAATAGATGCCTTTCAAGCTCTTTGAATTTCTAGAACATTTTAGGACCGGCTCTTTTTTGATAACAAGAATTCAACTAGAGAAAACTGGATCAATAGGTAAAGTTTTTATTCCGCTGGAAACCTAAAAATTAAATTCCACTTTCGAAACTAGAAATCGTTCACGTTTTTTCGCGCCATTTCCACATTCTTATTTAGAGAGTGCTTTTTACGTCACTTTCAGCAGATGAATTTTAATTGAATTCAAAAAATGCTTATACATTTAAGTGCATTCATCAATGCATCAATATGTATGAATGCACATTGTACTCATAAGAGACTTTTAAGAGTTTTCCTGAAAAAAAACAGCAATACGCATATAAAAGACTTCACTACGTTCATTAATCTTAAAAATAAAACTCACTTTCCAAACAAGAAGCTGATCGCGTTTTGTTGTGACCTTTACTCTTTTGCGGTTCGATAGTGGAGTTTTTCATTTTAGGAAAGAAAAAAACTGAATTTGAAACAAATTGAAAGGCAAAACGCGAAAATCAAATTTGAACGTGAAAAGTTATTTGCTGAAAAAAACCATCAAGACCTAACCATTATAGAACATCCACCTAGAGATTTGAAATACCTCGAATTAAACCCCCAGAAATCAGAGCCTTTGATAATCCTCGATTTGCTCACCGTTCGCGTAACTGATAATAGCAAAAAAAGTTCCAACTAAATCGGATCAGCAGATTGAGATGACCTTGAAGAACATTTAAAATCCGTTGACTCCATTTGATGGCATTTTTCAAAATGAGGAGGCTGACCGACTAAAATTAACTAGAGACAAGTCAAAAATGAGTTTCAATATTAGCAATCAGAAATGAAACTTCAAAGGTAACAATAAAAAAAAGAAACATAAATAAACAGAATTGCATCGACTTGGATCATTGGGGCCTTATTATAACATAAAAACTACCCGTATTGAAACTAAATCAATACTTGTAAATACTTGTCGAGGTGTTATCAAAATTTTGGGTATATCTCTGAGCTTAGTTTACGAAGGAACAATGAGCTCTCATTCAAATTTTACCTTCAATTTCCAAAAAAATTCCCCATGCGTTAGTCGAGGCAATTAATAGTATTGTAAAACATCAATCAGCGCATTTTGAATGTCAGCGATTCTTTCAAGGTCGAAATTTCTCCAGTGAAGTCCAGATCCAGTTGATAATCAACCTCTTTCGAATTTTTCGGGTTCTGTTTAATCCCAAACACTCCACAAATCTCTTCACCTTTTTTAGCAGTCAGAAAATCCGTCAAATAGAACACAGTTTGCTTCCAGTGAGTGTAGTTCGCTTCTGGACTAGTCGTAAATCCAGTTCTCTTGTGACATTTCGTGAACTCAACATTGAAGAATGCTACAAATGCGTGTACGTTGTCGTTTTGCTTCATCAACAAATTAAACGGAACTGTGAAATCCGAATGTTCTCGTAGAGTGGCAGTGTAAAGATCTACCTCTCGAAGAAGACAAGGACTTGTTACGACTTGCTGTGGTTCCACGACATCAACTAAGGGTTCCTGGAGGGCAGTATCTCGGATACTCGTCATGTTGAAGCCATAAACCGATGACCACCAGTGTATTTTCTGGTCCTTGTAACTCTTATCTTCAATCGCTGTTAAGTACAATGAGGCCCGGTCTGGAAACATCAGACCATCTGGCTTGAGATACTTGTCTCTGGCATAGAGAACAGCCGGAAGCGTCGAGTCATAGAAGAGACAGAAGCCCATCCATTCTGACAAAATAATGTCTACTTTCTCCACTGGCAACTGAACGTCTTCAATTTTGCCCTTTATCATCGTAATTTTATCATCCATTTTGTTATCTTTAACTATCTGCCGAGCATGATCTAGAATGTTTGACATGTCAACTCCGTACACATGTTTGGCACCCGCTTTAGCCGCAAATAGCGACAGCAGCCCTAATCCACAGCCAACGTCAAGAACAATCTTTCCTTCGAAGAGATGCTTGTTGTACATGATTGCATTTTTATAGGTCAGCGCTCTCACTTCGTCTTTGAGGTGTTCCTCGTGCACGCCGAAATGGGCGTACGAGTCCTCGAAGTAGTCTTCTGACGTCATTTCTGAGAGGGAAACTGCTTGCATCTTTGCAGCTGGGGGTCCGTGGTCTCCATTCACGCTCTGCGGCTCAGGCATTGTCTTCACTATCTTCGCAATTTTGAGAATGTGACCAAAAATCAACAAAACAGATAGCAGATTTCAATCAATTCTGAAAACAAAACCAAACTGAACACTTTTGATGATTTTGAGAACTTATCAGCGGTCTGATTCAGTAGCCTCAGTCATCGGTATCCAATAAAAAAAAATAAAAACGACAAAAAAAATTCAAAAAATCTGTACTTTTCATGTGCATAAATAAAAAAATCTGTTTTACAAAAATTTGACTATATTTACAATGAAAGAGATGCATTATTTACAAAATATACAGAATCTTATTGGTAAATCTGTTTAGCTCATTTTCCATTTTTACAATTAACGCACGATATCTCAATTTTGCATAATTTTTCATTTAGCCAGCTGAAGACCTTGTCTTCACGCGGGTTTCTCATGCCACTGCAACTTGTGAGGCGATGTATGGGTTGATGACATCCACCACTGTCTCTTGCAATAGGAAAGGTTTGTACTGGATTGTGACGGAAGTAGCTATTGGGTGTTTCTTAGTATCTGCTGCCAACTCATTGATCAATCTCCACCGCTCCTATAACACGATAAATAAAATAACTCAAATTCGCATTTCGAGAAACGGCTCTTTTTCCTTTTCCCCCCACCTGCAAGTTTTTATACTTGAAGTTGCCGTTCACTTTGTCCGATTGTCGTGAAAATTGGCATGCAGAATAATTAGGCCATAACAAGCATATTTGGTCTTCATAATAAACCTTGTAAAACCACTCGTTATACCATAAAGTTCATGTTTGAGTGAGGTGGGGGGAGGGGGGGGGGGGAAGGAAAAAGAACCCGAGAAACAAAAACATCAATCTCAAATCATGAACTTAAGAACCATCAGCATGGATCTTTTAAGTTCAACTGAACAGGCGTTAACGACGCTTCAAAAAGACATCAACGCTTTGCTTTTCACCTACCAAATACTTAAATGCATGTATTTAAACCCAGCTTTACTCTAATCGATTGGATATTTATTTAATGTACCATATGCGAAAGAGTAAGACATAATGGTCATTTTATAAATACGCCTGTTTAGATGAAAATAAGCAGCAGAAAAGTTCTAAAGCCTGACAGAATTGCACGTGCGATTGTAAAAGGTAGAAATATAATAAATCATTCAGCGTCTCATAATTGAGTAGAATTCTTACACTTTGAGATTCTTGGTCATTGAGAGCGAACTTCGGCAAGGCGTAGGAGTACATGATAGGATAGACAGTCTGCAGGAACAACGTGTGGAAGCTGTTCCGCAGAAACACAGGATTTTTCTAGAACAACAACCGGAAATTAATCTCCGTTTTAAGTAATTCTTTGGAAACAAATTCGTTTCAAGTTCAACCAACCTTTTCCGCACGTTTCATATTTTTCGCCAACTCCATCCATTCACTCTAAAAAATGAAGACAATTGATGGCGATTTTTGAAACCAAATTTATTTAAAAACATCTGATTGTATATTCGCTTTATCCCTTGCTCTTCTTGATCATGGAACCGACATTAAATCTTCACAACACTATTCACAACGCTGAGATGTACTCTTTTCTGATATGAAAAAGTTTTTTGTTAACAGCGAGGAACCCGAAGTAGTAGTAAAGAACTCACCCTGAGTAAATCGATCAAGTCTGGAGTGTCCATTGCGACGGGGAAGTTAGCCAAGAATGGCGAAGAAATCGGTTCTGCAACAAAAATAGGGCATGACGAACACTGAGCAATGATAACACTCGAAGTCTACTTTATGTAGAAAAATATCCTAACAAAGAATAGCCGTTTCCTCGGAAAGTTGCAAAGATTGATCCAAACTCATTAAAACAAGCCAACAGAAAGTTGAAAAAGAGTCAATGAACGCAGGGAAACAGAAAAAAAATACCGACATGTTTTAAAAAACTTCAACTTTCGAATTTTAAAGAAAAACAAGACTGCTCGTATCAGGGCGAAGCCCTGAATGTTCCGACTGCCTTTTAAGGTTTTGTGAGCAGTAATAACATTAAAAAACTAAATGTAATAAAACAAAAAAAAATTAAGTTGGACTTTTTTTAAATAAAAATCATCACCCCACACGTCATATGGGTACAAAAGAACAGATTTCGCTCCTTTTAACAAATCATTGATGGCAGATAAGCTTCTTTCAACAAAATTGAAACGATTTCTAGGACGGATAAACTCTCCGCTTACGCTTTAATATCGCGAAATATATCTCGCGTTTATTGTCCCAAATTGGCCGAAATAGCTATCTTTAAACCCCCATAACTTTACAAAAAATGATCACAGGTAAAATATTTTTTCAAATTTGAGCTCAGATTAACAATACCTTTCAAAAGATTTTAAAAATTCCGTCAAAAAAGGCTAGTTAAAAAGTCTGAACATGAAAATAGATAAAACAAAATAAAACGAAATTTGTCTGAAGAAAAAAAACCTCTCCGAGCACAAATATTCCATTCCTTTCGTATCGACAGGCGGAACAAAAATTTGGCCTCAATTTCAACATTAATTAATGATTGTTACAATTTTGATAAAAACAAACCAATTTGAAAAAAAACTGGATCAATGTGTTAATTTTTTGGTCCGCTGGGATATCTTAAATTTAAATTCAACTTTCGAAACTAATATTTGTACCTTTTTTCGCACCATTTCCGTATTTGTATTTTGAGAGCGCATTTTACCTCATTTTTAACAAATGACCTTGAATTGAACTCAAACAACGCACACCTATGAGCATTCATAAATGCATTAATATGTCTGAATGCTCTTCTGTAATTATTAGAGCATTTATAAGACCTATATGAGAGTCTTCACTACGTTGATCTACTCTTAAAATATTGAAACCAATTGATTCCAATTCATTTAAGGAGAGAGAGAGATTTTGGGGTGCACTTTTTTGGACAAATTATGGGGTGAGTTTTTGCGAATCAGATTCCCGACCAATTGGGTTTTAATTTGAGACCACATCGACCTCCTACTTGACCCCCTGAGTATTCTCTCAGGTAGCCAAAATCGGCTGGAAAAAATTTCAGCGTTAGTACAAAAAATTGGGGAATTCAACAACTCAACAAAACAATACCACCTTTGCTTCACATCTCTAGAATTGATCCAATTAACTAAGTTAATTGCAATTAATAACAAAGAAGCATTATTAGAGCATTCATAAGACCTATTTGAGAGTCTTCACTACGTTGATCTACTCTTAAAATATTGAAACCAATTGATTCCAATTCATTTAAGGAGAGAGAGATAGAGAGATTTTGGGGTGCACTTTTTTGGACAGATTATGGGGTGAGTTTTTGCGAATCAGATTACCGACCAATAGGGTTTTAATTTGAGACCACATCGACCTCCTACTTGACCCCCTGAGTATTCTCTCAGGTAGCCAAAATCGGCTGGAAAAAATTTCAGCGTTAGTACAAAAAATTGGGGAATTCAACAACTCAACAAAACAATACCACCTTTGCTTCACATCTCTAGAATTGATCCAATTAACTAAGTTAATTGCAATTAATAACAAAGAAACAAGGTTCTTCGAAACGTGTACCAGAAAAACATTGGTTCAAAGAAAAGCTTGTGCTGCAATTTCTTTGAAGATCCTTGTGAACAACTTAAAGAAAAAGCTATCAATTTCCCGAGCCAAACTCTTCAACTCGCAGTTAGGAGTTACCTTCTGCAACTATTCGCGTATGCTGCCTGTCTAAGCACACACTTTTGTACATTGTCAGTTTAGTTTTCCAAAAACCAGAGAAGCTCAAAAAACCGTCAATATATCAAAACAAACTTTTTCTATATCCAAAATTACTTTACCCCAAAAAGTTATGCTAAGCTCCTATGCAGAGAAATATCCAAGCAGCTGTTATTTCGATTGAACCCTTTTTCTCAGATTTGGCAGAGCAATTTTTGACAGAAGTCTCCTGAAACTGTTCAAAGTTTCAAATCACACCGTCAAACTTATTTCGGAGTCCAAACCCAACTTTCCTACAAATTAGGGCCTATTGGTCGGTAATCTGCTGCGCTGGTGTCTCAATGAAAAGTGAACGTCAGTAAAATTATGCAAATTCTACTCCAGGATTTGGTTTTTTGTGATTGACACATTTCAATAAAAATCAACTATCTCTAGCAATGTAACTTAAATTGGTACTACTAAAAGCCGATGTGGAGCTAGCTGATGACGACTATTCAAACAGATTTTGTATATAGGTTATGACAGGTTTTGATTGCCGATTTGGCTCAAATCACACGACAAATGGTATGATATCATTCATTAAGCGCATTCTGTTTATTTAGTATATTTCTAACTGAGCTCCACCATTATAGTTCGGAGTTAAATTTCTACTGCTGAGCTAATTTTAACCAAAGATTAGAACTTCTCTTTTGAGATTTTTTACAGCATAGCTGAGAGGATAAATGAAAATTACTTAATTGCTGCGTGTAATTGTTGCTGTATTTGTTATCTAACTTTTATTAAACAAAGTAAATTGTCACTTACTTATGTCTTTAGATAATTTTTATATTTTATTAATTATAAATTTTTAGTGTAGAAATCTTTTAAAATACTGAAGATCTTGATTTTCAGTTTCACAAGTTCAAGTGGATCTCAATTTGAAAATGGATTTCAATTCATTGAATAAAAAACTCCTTGATCAAATTTTACAAAATCGATCACAAAAAACTCCTTTTAACATTGGTGAAATTCGAAAGTTTCCCGGATCTAAAATTCTTAGGCAAGGCATGATAAGTGACGGGAACATTATTAAAGATAATCTATGAACACTTAAAAACGTATTGTTATTTAAAATGTTCGTAATTTTGTCCAGCAAGCATTTAATGATAAGACTGAACTACTAAAAAACAGGTGAAAAAACTAACAAGTTACACTCAAAGCTCATGCCAATCAGATGCATTGTCCAATTTTTTTAATTTGAAATTTATAGTTCAATTGTATATCATGAAACGCTTAATGGCGAAGAGGGGGAACTATTTCATTAATAAAATGATCAACCATTTACAATTTATTACTGATATTTGCTCCGACACTTCTCATGCCTAGCAAAAATTTGATCCAGGCGTAATATTTATAATTTCACTGATTTGAAATCGACATTTTTTTCCACGCTAAACCAAGAACTACAACTAATCATCGGAATGGGATGAATGATATATTATTTTAAAGTTCTTTCAGTGATAATTAGAATAATACAAATATTTTGAGTTTGATCAAGTTTCGAGCGACTAAAGCAAATGAGTAAAGCAACAATAAAGTTCGTTAAATTAACCACTTAGGCTATAAAAAAAAATTCTAAATGAAAATTAGTTTTAGAAGCTTCATTTGGCAAAAAAAACATTAAAAAAATAATTGTGCAAAAACAGTTGTCAATGGTGCCTCATTTATTAACTTTCTCCAGGTGTGTGTATAGTTCTCTCGTCACACCTCGCACAAGAAACGACACTAAGTTGAAGAACTTAGTATTTTGCTGATCTTTTTTTGTAGTTTTTACGAATCAGGTCGGAGCATTCTGTGCTAATTGTAAAGCAACCGGTCATCCTTAATTTCACGTGCTCGTCTTTTATTGCATACCGTAACTTGCTTTCCGTTTAACAAACTATTTTGAAATCCCGAAGTCAAACATTGAAAATTGAGCGTAAACAAATTTTAAAGACTTGCATTGAAAATAATTAATAAATGAAATACCTTTTAGGACTTTTCGCTTAAAAACATTCAAAACAAGGATAGCCGGTTATTGTACACATAAGACAGAACGTTCCGACCATATTCTTTAATAAGTCATTAGTCATTTAAAAAAACTTTGTGGTGTGATAAAAAAATAGAAAAGAAAAAATGGAAAATAGTTTTTATAGAAAAATTACTAGAAAAAGGGAAAAAAATTGCAGAAATTTTTAATTCCATAAATGTCGCTAAAAACTCCAAAAACTAACTTTACTCGAGATAAACTAAGTTTTTACGTCCTAAATTAAGCATAAATCAGCTTTTATAAGCCTGTACGCTGCCCTATTAACTCGAAATTAGAAAGAAAATCAAAAAATTCAAAGCAGCTGAAAGGGCTTCACACAATCACGACTGAAAGAGCTTCACACAATCACGTCTGAAAGTGCTTCACACAGATGCGAAGCTGCACTTCGCATACACAAGCAAAAATATGACCGATAACGCTACTGAGAAAAACTGAATGATTATTTGTGGTACCTGATTTTGCTTGGAAAACAAAAAACTGAAGCACCGAATACTAAGTTCCTCCCGTGGTCGGAACAAAAATACAGGCAGTAATGATTGCACTGCGAAGATATAGTTCAGGCTCTTTAAAGCAAAATTGTAAAAACTGCAACAAAACATGGCGCTTCAACTTTAAAAAAAATTAACCAAGCTTTTTTGTTTAAAAAAACAGCTCACATTTTTGCCAGAGGGCCTATGTTAATTATTCTGTCAAAATTCGAATAACTCGTATTCCAAAAAAGCTATTGACTTTTTGCTTTAATTCATTTCATTTAATCACATTTTGAAACTACTTTAATTTAGTAATTCAGAGTTCACGTCATAATCAAGGTCATCAAAATCGCTGCTATACATCTGATCCACGTTATCGTCACCGCCATTATTGTCTTCATTTTCTGATTCGTTTCGATTGTCTTCCCTCCTCTCAACCGATTTAACCCTCGAACTCGACTTTGCGACGTATTTAGGATTCCTTTTCGCTTGCATTCGTTCCACCCTTTGTCTATGCGGTGCTTCGGAAAATGTCACGTATCTATCATCGTGGTTCAATCTTCGAATCACTTGTTTCAGTTTCTTCACGCGTTGCGAGAACTGCTTCACAATTAAATCGTACTTTTCTAGTTTCAGTTTTACGTTCACTATTTCCTTGTCTTTTTCAACGGATAACTTCATTAGACTTGATCTCTCGTGAGCTAGTTGTTCACCGAGTTCAATCGCATCCTCCAACTTCAAAGACAGCACATTTTTTTCGATTTTAATATATTTTACATTTTTGTATTTAGAGCTTGAGTCATGATCTGTCGCATAATTACAGGCCATGAAAACTAACTTAAAAAATGCGATTAACTTGGTTTTAAAAAAAAAACTCAATCGAAACTGAAATTGCTTGCCAATAAAGGCTAGCAATATATACCATAAGAATTTCAGTTGGTAAGGACTCATGATATAGTAAAGGAAATCTCTGAAGGCCTGAAAAATAGGGCAGACGTTACAAAACAAGTTCCGAATAAAAATAATCATTGCAAAAACATTTGATATCGAAACTATGTGCTGCATTTTAAGCATCCCTGTTTAGATAGGTCGAGTATCTTTCCCTGCGACGCTATTAATTGTCCTTCCAGAACCCTGGAATTCTTCTGCCAAGTCTTCTGTTTGTTCAGTACATTCTCCACCTCCGATTGCATGGATATCATTTTGGAGTTGGAATCTGAGTGCTGCATCACCAGGTACTGTCTCTCGAATTCCAGATCTTGCACTCTTCAAGTAAACGACAACTATTCCTTCAGACGAATTTTTGGACAAAATGTTCTAGATAAAAAGATTTTTCAAGAAATTTCAGTCAAACACTTCAAAGATAAAATTTTCAAAAAACCGACAAGCTAGAATATTCAGAACAAAAACAGATCAACATCCGTTTTTGATTAATTGTACACAGAGGCGACGCTGTGCTTCGCAAACACAAGTGAGAAAACGACATAAATTAGCTGTAAAAGTTGAAATAAAAAATGTAAAAATTAGCCCTTTGCATTGGTGGATTCGAACTTACGACTAAGAGATTTAGAGTCGCACGTCCTCGCATTTATCTACGTGCCCTTGAAATATGCTAACACTAGCCACCAATGAAGCAGCTACATACGCTAAGAAATTGCCAATTGTAAGCAGCAAAATGATATCAAATCAAAATTTGCATGTAATAATTTGGAATATACTAAACTGAAGGCATCCAAAGACATTTTGCGTGAATTGAAGTTGCTTTAACTGCGAGATAAAAGTTAAATATTTCTGAAATGGAGTTTTTATTATTTTACTGTTTGAAACAAATAGCTTTTTTTCGGTTTAGTTGATGCATTAAAATAGAAGCGAAGCTGCACTTCGCAAACACAAGCAAAAAAGCGACAAAAAACTCTTATAGGTTCAAACGTTAAAATGTAAAAACAAGAACCTTTAAACGAAAAACGCTACTAGGTTTTGTAATCGAATACCCGACCTCAAGAGTAAAAGTCGCCTGCTTTAGCGTCAGCACCTAAATCACTTGAAACTTACTAACATTAGCCGCCACTAAACCAAATTCAAAGCTATAATGTAAATGCAGCAAAAATAAGCCAGACTAGGGGTTCAGTCAAAGCTGGAGCTAACTGTTTGATAGTTTTTAATGAACTGATGTGAAAAGTAACAGTAAATTTCAAAACAGCAAGAAAAACTTTCTGGGCTGATTCTTAACCATATCTACGGAGAAAAGGTTTTTCATGGGAGATCATTACAAACATCTCGTTTGATTGATTTATTAACTTCAAAATTGGCATGGTTTTGGGAAAACGAGCGAAGTCCATTAAGTTAAAAAAAGAGTCACTTATAGGATGCTTAACCGGTCTATAGCGGATCGCTAGCCAGAAATGGTAAAATCAGGCTTTGCATGTGATACACGTACAATTTGTTATTTCAATTGAACCCTTAATGGCACAGCACTTTCGAGAAAATCGAAAAAAAAGTCACTAATTCAAAAAATGGACTTCAAATCCAAAATATCTTTTCTAAGAAAGAGAGGCCTGGGATCTTATGCAGGAAACCTCATAGCACCTGTTCTTTTGATTGAAACTTTGGTTATTTTTCGAGAAAAATCTGAAAGGTTTCGAAAGCACGCTTAAGTTGAAAATTTGGACATTTTCTGAGGATTTTTTTTGAAGAAACATAAGGGCAGAAATACCGATGCAGATAAACTTCACACCTCATGTGTTTTTTTATTAAATCCCTAATCTCAGAATGGCAATGCATTTCTCGAAAAAACATTAAAAGTTCAACAAATAGTCAACATTTCAAAACGTGGACTTTAACTAAAACCAACAACTTTTCTACAAAATAAGGTTGTAGCAGAAATAAAAGCAGAAAAAAAATCCAAGCAGGTGTTCTATCAATTAAACCTTCGCCCGCAGATTTGGCTGTGTCGTTTTCAAAAAAATCGAAAAATGGAGGAAATTTCAAGTGTAGTTTTCAAAAAAATCGAAAAACGGACGAAATTTCAAAAAGTAGCTGCTTATTCAGTCAAAATTGCTGCAAACTTATATTTCGACTGAATCCTTCTCCGATTTGACTGAAGTTTCAAATGGAAATTTCCCAAAAATAGTCGAAAATTCAAAATTAGACTTCTGTCAACTTCATAGTATAAGGCAAGATAGGAGGGGGAAAAGAAAGGTATGGAGGAAAAGTTGTTGCCTCTTGACTAAGTTAGTAATATCTTCTTTGCTCTGGTGTCTCAACTCTTTCAGCTCCTGCTCCACCTTCTCAACTACCTCAGTGTGCTTGGCTATTTTGATGCAGTCCTCGTGTTCTTTGGGAAGAGGGGGAGGTTCTTTCCTCAAGACCAGGATTCGAAACTTTTCCTGTGAAGTACGAGGGAATTCAGTCATTCCAGGTCAACACAACGCCTCTGCTCACATGATGCTGTTATTTTCAGAATACCTTCCCTGAGAACTATGCTTGAAGATTTTAAAGATAAGGTATACTTCGAATTTTCTAATAGTGAAATTACCACCAGTCAGTGCTTGCAAAAGGTATACGATTGCAACAATTTTTGTCTAGCTATTGCTGATTATGTTGACCTGCAATGCATTGAAGTCGGATTCCAAGAACGACTTATCCGTTTCCAACTGGATGCACTTCCGGGTTAACCTCGCAACCTCCTGTACATATCCCTGGTGCTGATCTTTCTGCTTCTGTTCCATAACCTCCACGTGGTTAACCAATACTTGGTTCTCCTCCAGTACCAACTTAGCCTACATCATTAGTAATTTCATCAAGTTTCATCTATGTTACCTCAAAAAACTGAAGGCATCCAAAGACATTTTGCGTGAATTGAAGTTGCTTTAACTGCGAGATAAAAGTTAAATATTTCTGAAATGGAGTTTTTATTATTTTACTGTTTGAAACAAATAGCTTTTTTTCGGTTTAGTTGATGCATTAAAATAGAAGCGAAGCTGCACTTCGCAAACACAAGCAAAAAAGCGACAAAAAACTCTTATAGGTTCAAACGTTAAAATGTAAAAACAAGAACCTTTAAACGAAAAACGCTACTAGGTTTTGTAATCGAATACCCGACCTCAAGAGTAAAAGTCGCCTGCTTTAGCGTCAGCACCTAAATCACTTGAAACTTACTAACATTAGCCGCCACTAAACCAAATTCAAAGCTATAATGTAAATGCAGCAAAAATAAGCCAGACTAGGGGTTCAGTCAAAGCTGGAGCTAACTGTTTGATAGTTTTTAATGAACTGATGTGAAAAGTAACAGTAAATTTCAAAACAGCAAGAAAAACTTTCTGGGCTGATTCTTAACCATATCTACGGAGAAAAGGTTTTTCATGGGAGATCATTACAAACATCTCGTTTGATTGATTTATTAACTTCAAAATTGGCATGGTTTTGGGAAAACGAGCGAAGTCCATTAAGTTAAAAAAAGAGTCACTTATAGGATGCTTAACCGGTCTATAGCGGATCGCTAGCCAGAAATGGTAAAATCAGGCTTTGCATGTGATACACGTACAATTTGTTATTTCAATTGAACCCTTAATGGCACAGCACTTTCGAGAAAATCGAAAAAAAAGTCACTAATTCAAAAAATGGACTTCAAATCCAAAATATCTTTTCTAAGAAAGAGAGGCCTGGGATCTTATGCAGGAAACCTCATAGCACCTGTTCTTTTGATTGAAACTTTGGTTATTTTTCGAGAAAAATCTGAAAGGTTTCGAAAGCACGCTTAAGTTGAAAATTTGGACATTTTCTGAGGATTTTTTTTGAAGAAACATAAGGGCAGAAATACCGATGCAGATAAACTTCACACCTCATGTGTTTTTTTATTAAATCCCTAATCTCAGAATGGCAATGCATTTCTCGAAAAAACATTAAAAGTTCAACAAATAGTCAACATTTCAAAACGTGGACTTTAACTAAAACCAACAACTTTTCTACAAAATAAGGTTGTAGCAGAAATAAAAGCAGAAAAAAAATCCAAGCAGGTGTTCTATCAATTAAACCTTCGCCCGCAGATTTGGCTGTGTCGTTTTCAAAAAAATCGAAAAATGGAGGAAATTTCAAGTGTAGTTTTCAAAAAAATCGAAAAACGGACGAAATTTCAAAAAGTAGCTGCTTATTCAGGCAAAATTGCTGCAAACTTATATTTCGACTGAATCCTTCTCCGATTTGACTGAAGTTTCAAATGGAAATTTCCCAAAAATAGTCGAAAATTCAAAATTAGACTTCTGTCAACTTCATAGTATAAGGCAAGATAGGAGGGGGAAAAGAAAGGTATGGAGGAAAAGTTGTTGCCTCTTGACTAAGTTAGTAATATCTTCTTTGCTCTGGTGTCTCAACTCTTTCAGCTCCTGCTCCACCTTCTCAACTACCTCAGTGTGCTTGGCTATTTTGATGCAGTCCTCGTGTTCTTTGGGAAGAGGGTGAGGTTTTTTCCTCAAGACCAAGATTCGAAACTTTTCCTGTGAAGTACGAGGGAATTCAGTCATTCCAGGTCAACACAACGCCTCTGCTCACATGATGCTGTTATTTTCAGAATACCTTCCCTGAGAACTATGCTTGAAGATTTTAAAGATAAGGTATACTTCGAATTTTCTAATAGTGAAATTACCACCAGTCAGTGCTTGCAAAAGGTATACGATTGCAACAATTTTTGTCTAGCTATTGCTGATTATGTTGACCTGCAATGCATTGAAGTCGGATTCCAAGAACGACTTATCCGTTTCCAACTGGATGCACTTCCGGGTTAACCTCGCAACCTCCTGTACATATCCCTGGTGCTGATCTTTCTGCTTCTGTTCCATAACCTCCACGTGGTTAACCAATACTTGGTTCTCCTCCAGTACCAACTTAGCCTACATCATTAGTAATTTCATCAAGTTTCATCTATGTTACCTCAAAAAACTGAAGGCATCCAAAGACATTTTGCGTGAATTGAAGTTGCTTTAACTGCGAGATAAAAGTTAAATATTTCTGAAATGGAGTTTTTATTATTTTACTGTTTGAAACAAATAGCTTTTTTTCGGTTTAGTTGATGCATTAAAATAGAAGCGAAGCTGCACTTCGCAAACACAAGCAAAAAAGCGACAAAAAACTCTTATAGGTTCAAACGTTAAAATGTAAAAACAAGAACCTTTAAACGAAAAACGCTACTAGGTTTTGTAATCGAATACCCGACCTCAAGAGTAAAAGTCGTCTGCTTTAGCGTCAGCACCTAAATCACTTGAAACTTACTAACATTAGCCGCCACTAAACCAAATTCAAAGCTATAATGTAAATGCAGCAAAAATAAGCCAGACTAGGGGTTCAGTCAAAGCTGGAGCTAACTGTTTGATAGTTTTTAATGAACTGATGTGAAAAGTAACAGTAAATTTCAAAACAGCAAGAAAAACTTTCTGGGCTGATTCTTAACCATATCTACGGAGAAAAGGTTTTTCATGGGAGATCATTACAAACATCTCGTTTGATTGATTTATTAACTTCAAAATTGGCATGGTTTTGGGAAAACGAGCGAAGTCCATTAAGTTAAAAAAAGAGTCACTTATAGGATGCTTAACCGGTCTATAGCGGATCGCTAGCCAGAAATGGTAAAATCAGGCTTTGCATGTGATACACGTACAATTTGTTATTTCAATTGAACCCTTAATGGCACAGCACTTTCGAGAAAATCGAAAAAAAAGTCACTAATTCAAAAAATGGACTTCAAATCCAAAATATCTTTTCTAAGAAAGAGAGGCCTGGGATCTTATGCAGGAAACCTCATAGCACCTGTTCTTTTGATTGAAACTTTGGTTATTTTTCGAGAAAAATCTGAAAGGTTTCGAAAGCACGCTTAAGTTGAAAATTTGGACATTTTCTGAGGATTTTTTTTGAAGAAACATAAGGGCAGAAATACCGATGCAGATAAACTTCACACCTCATGTGTTTTTTTATTAAATCCCTAATCTCAGAATGGCAATGCATTTCTCGAAAAAACATTAAAAGTTCAACAAATAGTCAACATTTCAAAACGTGGACTTTAACTAAAACCAACAACTTTTCTACAAAATAAGGTTGTAGCAGAAATAAAAGCAGAAAAAAAATCCAAGCAGGTGTTCTATCAATTAAACCTTCGCCCGCAGATTTGGCTGTGTCGTTTTCAAAAAAATCGAAAAATGGAGGAAATTTCAAGTGTAGTTTTCAAAAAAATCGAAAAACGGACGAAATTTCAAAAAGTAGCTGCTTATTCAGGCAAAATTGCTGCAAACTTATATTTCGACTGAATCCTTCTCCGATTTGACTGAAGTTTCAAATGGAAATTTCCCAAAAATAGTCGAAAATTCAAAATTAGACTTCTGTCAACTTCATAGTATAAGGCAAGATAGGAGGGGGAAAAGAAAGGTATGGAGGAAAAGTTGTTGCCTCTTGACTAAGTTAGTAATATCTTCTTTGCTCTGGTGTCTCAACTCTTTCAGCTCCTGCTCCACCTTCTCAACTACCTCAGTGTGCTTGGCTATTTTGATGCAGTCCTCGTGTTCTTTGGGAAGAGGGGGAGGTTCTTTCCTCAAGACCAGGATTCGAAACTTTTCCTGTGAAGTACGAGGGAATTCAGTCATTCCAGGTCAACACAACGCCTCTGCTCACATGATGCTGTTATTTTCAGAATACCTTCCCTGAGAACTATGCTTGAAGATTTTAAAGATAAGGTATACTTCGAATTTTCTAATAGTGAAATTACCACCAGTCAGTGCTTGCAAAAGGTATACGATTGCAACAATTTTTGTCCAGCTATTGCTGATTATGTTGACCTGCAATGCATTGAAGTCGGATTCCAAGAACGACTTATCCGTTTCCAACTGGATGCACTTCCGGGTTAACCTCGCAACCTCCTGTACATATCCCTGGTGCTGATCTTTCTGCTTCTGTTCCATAACCTCCACGTGGTTAACCAATACTTGGTTCTCCTCCAGTACCAACTTAGCCTACATCATTAGTAATTTCATCAAGTTTCATCTATGTTACCTCAAAAAACTGAAGGCATCCAAAGACATTTTGCGTGAATTGAAGTTGCTTTAACTGCGAGATAAAAGTTAAATATTTCTGAAATGGAGTTTTTATTATTTTACTGTTTGAAACAAATAGCTTTTTTTCGGTTTAGTTGATGCATTAAAATAGAAGCGAAGCTGCACTTCGCAAACACAAGCAAAAAAGCGACAAAAAACTCTTATAGGTTCAAACGTTAAAATGTAAAAACAAGAACCTTTAAACGAAAAACGCTACTAGGTTTTGTAATCGAATACCCGACCTCAAGAGTAAAAGTCGCCTGCTTTAGCGTCAGCACCTAAATCACTTGAAACTTACTAACATTAGCCGCCACTAAACCAAATTCAAAGCTATAATGTAAATGCAGCAAAAATAAGCCAGACTAGGGGTTCAGTCAAAGCTGGAGCTAACTGTTTGATAGTTTTTAATGAACTGATGTGAAAAGTAACAGTAAATTTCAAAACAGCAAGAAAAACTTTCTGGGCTGATTCTTAACCATATCTACGGAGAAAAGGTTTTTCATGGGAGATCATTACAAACATCTCGTTTGATTGATTTATTAACTTCAAAATTGGCATGGTTTTGGGAAAACGAGCGAAGTCCATTAAGTTAAAAAAAGAGTCACTTATAGGATGCTTAACCGGTCTATAGCGGATCGCTAGCCAGAAATGGTAAAATCAGGCTTTGCATGTGATACACGTACAATTTGTTATTTCAATTGAACCCTTAATGGCACAGCACTTTCGAGAAAATCGAAAAAAAAGTCACTAATTCAAAAAATGGACTTCAAATCCAAAATATCTTTTCTAAGAAAGAGAGGCCTGGGATCTTATGCAGGAAACCTCATAGCACCTGTTCTTTTGATTGAAACTTTGGTTATTTTTCGAGAAAAATCTGAAAGGTTTCGAAAGCACGCTTAAGTTGAAAATTTGGACATTTTCTGAGGATTTTTTTTGAAGAAACATAAGGGCAGAAATACCGATGCAGATAAACTTCACACCTCATGTGTTTTTTTATTAAATCCCTAATCTCAGAATGGCAATGCATTTCTCGAAAAAACATTAAAAGTTCAACAAATAGTCAACATTTCAAAACGTGGACTTTAACTAAAACCAACAACTTTTCTACAAAATAAGGTTGTAGCAGAAATAAAAGCAGAAAAAAAATCCAAGCAGGTGTTCTATCAATTAAACCTTCGCCCGCAGATTTGGCTGTGTCGTTTTCAAAAAAATCGAAAAATGGAGGAAATTTCAAGTGTAGTTTTCAAAAAAATCGAAAAACGGACGAAATTTCAAAAAGTAGCTGCTTATTCAGGCAAAATTGCTGCAAACTTATATTTCGACTGAATCCTTCTCCGATTTGACTGAAGTTTCAAATGGAAATTTCCCAAAAATAGTCGAAAATTCAAAATTAGACTTCTGTCAACTTCATAGTATAAGGCAAGATAGGAGGGGGAAAAGAAAGGTATGGAGGAAAAGTTGTTGCCTCTTGACTAAGTTAGTAATATCTTCTTTGCTCTGGTGTCTCAACTCTTTCAGCTCCTGCTCCACCTTCTCAACTACCTCAGTGTGCTTGGCTATTTTGATGCAGTCCTCGTGTTCTTTGGGAAGAGGGGGAGGTTCTTTCCTCAAGACCAGGATTCGAAACTTTTCCTGTGAAGTACGAGGGAATTCAGTCATTCCAGGTCAACACAACGCCTCTGCTCACATGATGCTGTTATTTTCAGAATACCTTCCCTGAGAACTATGCTTGAAGATTTTAAAGATAAGGTATACTTCGAATTTTCTAATAGTGAAATTACCACCAGTCAGTGCTTGCAAAAGGTATACGATTGCAACAATTTTTGTCTAGCTATTGCTGATTATGTTGACCTGCAATGCATTGAAGTCGGATTCCAAGAACGACTTATCCGTTTCCAACTGGATGCACTTCCGGGTTAACCTCGCAACCTCCTGTACATATCCCTGGTGCTGATCTTTCTGCTTCTGTTCCATAACCTCCACGTGGTTAACCAATACTTGGTTCTCCTCCAGTACCAACTTAGCCTACATCATTAGTAATTTCATCAAGTTTCATCTATGTTACCTCAAAATCGATTAAGTAAACGAACGACAGCTCAGCATAAAAGAAATTAGCTAGGGATCTACCAAAATATACAGCCCACTTTCAATAAACGAGACGAATCTACACGGGAGCGGATTTAGGGGAGGGGCGTTTTGCTCTGGTGTCGTAAGGGATTCCGCCTCCTTTGAACTTAACTGTCCCCCTTTTGTAGTGATTTAAAATACCCACTTTTGGCTAACCGACCCCAAAATTTTTCTAAGGGCGTCTTTGGCGCCAACATATAACAAATTTGAGAGAGATATCATGACAAAAAACGCAATTCTATGGTCAAAACATTTTAAAAAAAACACAAAACGTTGTTTTCGGCCTATTTTTTCTACATTTTGCTTGCAGCGCCAAAAATTTGATCATAATAGGGTCCTAAAGGTGGAGTCAGGGAGCTCGGAAAATCGATTTGGCCGAGCAAACAAACTTTCTGAAAATCACAGCCCTCTCCCCCTAGATAAAATCCTACATCCGCCCTACTGCTACACGATATCAAACTATGCAGGGCTGGTCAAAATATGTTTTTTTTAAAAAAAAACGTTTAAAACTGTTTTAAACGTTTTAAACAGTTTAAAACATGTTTTTTTTGCAAGAATTTATTTTTAGTACTCAATCGGCTCATGTTTTAATCTGAAAAATCCATTCGTTGAAAATTAATGGTTTTGATAAGTAATCTCTGATTAAAAGCTGTATAATGTCAGCAAAACTTGCATGGCAAATGCGCACTTGATAGCTTGTTGAAAGAACTGCACTGTACGTGTTAATTTGGATGAATCAAGTAACAGCTGCCAGTTAAATTGCGTAATAATTGCGCCCTCGCAGTCGAAACATGAAACACTGTTTAAAACACTAAAATTGAGTCATGTTTTAAACAGTGTTTAAAACAGTTTTAAACACTGTTTAAAACAACCCCTGTTTTTTATTGACCAGCCCTGAAACTATGACGTCATTTTAGCAACCTGCTCCTGCAGCTGTTTCCACTCCATCTGCTTCACTGTGCTGTGGTTTTCGATGTGCAACACTTGATTCTCTTGCACTAGCTCTTCCACCTTGGTCTTGAGTCGCATGAAATCCCCTTCGTACTTCTCAATTGTTGTATCTTTTTCGTTCAATAGTTCCTAATTCAGAACTGCTTAAAATGTTTTTTTTTAATGTTTTGCAGCAGAACAACATACAACTTCAAACTATCCCAAAGTTTTCGCAATCTAATAATTTTTTCATGCCAGTCAGTGAATTGATTGCCCAAAATTCATGGATATACTGAAATAGAGTATAACAGATATGCTTGCTGGTAAAAAAAAAACTAGTAGGAATTTCAAAGTTTATTTAGATAGCAAACCTCGTAAGCATGCACTAATGGCGACAAGCACGACAAGTTGGATACCCACTCTGGAACTCGCTTTACGAATTTGGAAATAAAATCGTTACTCGATGCCACCACAGGCGAGGATTGTCGGCCCAACTGATGGGAGGCCAGAGCTGCCGAGGATTTAGCCAGAGCTTCTTTGAGCTCAGACACTTCTCGCTTCAAAGCTTCTAAAGCCTGTGCGTTTTTCGGTTCTTTAGATAAAAACAAACAGACAAATCAAAAACTACTCGTAACAATTTGAGAATTATAAGACAGAGTCAAAAATTCCCGTTTAAATTGTTCAAAAAACAACGTTTTTTCTGCTTTCGTAATTTTTTTTTGATTTGCCTGCAGGTGTTTTCTTCTTAGCAGACAATGATTGCACCTCTTGTCCCTTAGTTGAATTATTAATCTGATCATTTAAGGACTGAATAGACTTCAAATACTCCGTTTTCTCGCTTTCCAAACTTTTAATTCTTGAGGTCAAATCTCTCGTTAACGTCTCTCGTTCTCTAATCACCATCAAATGTTCTTCTCGTTCCCTTTGCAAATCTCTGAGTTGAGTAATAATTTGCTGCAGACGAACTTGAAATGCTGAATTTTCTCGTCTCAAAACTTCGATTTGCTTTCTCATTTTCACTACATTCGGATCTTTCGGCTCATTAGGCCCCCCTCCGAATTGAGCTGGCATAGAAGCACTTAAATCAATATTCGAGTGCGCTTTCAAATCTTCTGGTGGTTTCGTTACAGTTATTTGCGGCAACTCCATTGTTTTCGATCTGTGGCTCAATTTTTTGCGCTCCGAGCTTTTTCCTCTGTCGCTTGGCTTTTTGCTAGTTGGTTCCAGAGATGCTACGACTGGTTCTTGGTTCTTTTTTGGAGATGCAGGAGTTGATTTGCTGCTCTCTGGTTTGCTTTTTGCAGGCGAAGATGAAGTTTTAGATGGCTTCGAATCAGGAGGAGTTGCGGGTCGAGACCCTTGGGAAGATGAGGCGAAGCTTGACAGTCTTTTGAACATTTGAAAATTTCATAGAAATTATAAGATCAACTTGTCAAAATTCGATCACGACGTCAAAGTTCTCCGACGTCAATTATGCTGAATAACTAGATGCCAATTATAATTATATTTCAGGAATGGTATATAATTTCCCTCTGTTCCATGATGATTCCAGACTAAAATTTTGGTGCGATCGTTAAATTCCAACTTATTTTAAGTGCCTCTTTATTAAACTAGAAATGAACGAATAATTCATTGGAACGCAGGAGATTATGAATTGGGGAAAATAATAACTGCTATTTCTTTTCAAATGGCTAAACAGGTGCCAGTAAGCCAACGGCAATGATCAATACAATACCAACAAAAAGGAAGTCACTCAGCCCTTCTTTAAGGATTAAAACCTCTGGTAATAGAAATCTCGGTAACTTCTATTCTTTTTAAAATTAAAGTATCCTTTTTTAAATTAAAGTACAGGAGGACCATTCATTCTTAGAAATGGACTCTCCAATTTACGACCAAAAACAACGCTAATCGATCATTAAAAAAGGTAACGAGCAAACAACGGCTATTTCTTGAATTTTTTCTGATCGTTCTAGTTTCATAAAACAAATTATAGCCAACAGACGGTTGAAAAAGAGTCAATGAACGCAAAGAAACAAAGAAAACCTTTTTTTTGAATTTCAAACGAAAAAAAACATATGGCCTTAGAGCTCTGGAATTGCATATATCTTGAAGCCTTAAAGCTCTGTGCACTTTTTCGATAAAATTAACCCAATTTCGGAAAACTCGATCAATAGATAAATTTTATTCCGCTGGGAAATCTGAAAATTAGAATCCACTTTCAAAACTACTAACATTCGATCACGTTTTTCGTGATTATTACACATTTACTATACATTTTTGCAAAAAAATCAACTTTGAGCCTGAACAAAATTTAAGACCTTTCGTGAAAACAAAAGACCAAAAATCATCACGACCTCTTATAAGAATCTATATTAAGTTCATCAGCTCTAAATAGCTTTGCGTCAAGGCTCTTTCAAATTTCATAAAACTTCTATAACTGACTTGTTCGAGGATGCAAAATTCTCAATTTAAGAAACCTGGTTTTAAGGGTGATTTTTCTATTTCACTGATTCAAAACTTTAATGTAAGTAACATTTCTATATATATTCGAGAGCAAAATTTGAGCAACTTAAAAAGTAAGAATTTTGACTAATTAATTTTTTGAAGCCTTTGTAAACAAAAAATTCATGATCCATAAGTTCTTTTAATTTTAAGAATATTGATGATTCACTTTGCTTTTTACAAAACTAGACGAATTTTTTAATTATTATTACAACTAGACTAATTTAAGAAAACTGGATGAAAAGGTTACTCTTATTCCGCTGGGAAATTTAAAATTTAAAAACCATTTTTTGAAGCTTCAAAACAATCACGTTTTTTGGGCATTTTTTTTTTAAATTGGAGAGCGTAATTTGCCCTCCATTGGGCAAATGATTTAAAGCCACAAAGACAAATTTGAGCAAAAAGCTGAGCATGAGACTTTCTCAAACCAACAAAAAAAAACGACTTAAATAAATGTCTTCACTTGAAGAGTTAAAAGCAGCCGACGCTCATTAATATTAAAAATACGGCCAGGTTAGAATAGCTTAGTTATGACCATTTTTCACAAAGGACAGTCCAACAAAATGAGCTCTTAAACTCATTATGCCGAAGAACTGATTTGCCCCATACGATTAAGGTCAATGAAAAGTTTTAAGTGTTCGTTTTTTTTTAATCTCGCATTTAACCAATAATAGATAGCTTAATTGATTTATTGGACACCAAAAACAACAAAATGAAAAGGAAAAACTCTACTCACTTATGACGCTTCTCTCTTTGCCGCCCCCTAGCAACTCCTGGGCCAGAATCTGCCGGTAGAACATCGTAAACTGGAGAGAAGTGACTGGCATCACAATATAGACTGGCAAATAAGATGCCATCTGTTTCTCCTCTTTACTCAGTTCTCCCATTTTCAGTGAGAGCGTTATTTGTCTTTTAGTCGACATTAGAGATCGGAGGGTATTTGACCCTGTCAAGGATGTGTCTCCGGTAGCAGTAGCATCTAGTGCAACGTCCTTTTCAAACGGGGTTCCTCCTTGAATTTCTATCTCAAACTCCCTAAAATGCACAGTTTGTTACGTTGGGTCCGTTGAACTTTTTTCGAGCTTCCAACATTTTTTATTCAATGACTCATGGTCGATTCGCTAGTGCTTTGGCAAATATATGTGATTGCTGCTTGCTCGCAATTTAAAACAGTTGATTATTCAGGAAAACATAAAGCAACATTGAAAAAGTATCAGCTATAGATGCACAGAAACAAATACACGCTTGTGGAGCTTTGCTGAGAAAAGCATAAAAACTTATATTAAATAATGTGAACTTTCGTATATTTTCTGCCTGAAAGCAATTTATTAAGATTATTATTACTATTAATGAGAGCATTAGTTTTTGGGGCTAAAGGATATTGACTGATAATGGATTTCAAAAATAATCAAAGAAAATAGTATCCTCCAAATCACACAGTATCTCTACTATAATATTCATTAAACATTTAAAGGACAGAGACAGAAAATTATTCACGAAAAAATGTCTCACTGACTCAGTTTTGGAGGATTTCCGGAGGCAACCTAGACTAAAAGATAAACCAAATTATGAAATTACTTGATGCAAAACAAATCGCTATCTTTTCCTAGTGCCTTTATTTACAACACAAACATCCGTTCAAGTCCAACGTAGAATATAACCAGCAGGCAGAAATAAGTAACATCATATTTGCCCGAAACCAACTTTTACGAACAATGATTTTTCACCAATACGTTCCATTTACTGACTTAACGAAGATCAAAATATTTAAGAGAAGACAATAGTTTTTGATTTTTAAAAGCAACTTACTTGTTTCCTATTGCCAGGGAGCTCCCATAGTCACTGCATAGCTTCAAGTAAACACGACCACAAGACATATCCCCTTTCTCTCCTGACTTCTGAAAACCGAAAACTATTTAAGGATCCATTACGACAAGAAGCCCCGCTTTGATGGTCAACATCCGAGGTCTTTCGTCTACTTCGATACTTCAATCAAGTTGCTTCAACGATATAATAAATACGGTAAATTACAAACTGGTCGGTGGTAGGCGACGTTCAATTCGACCAACAGTCCCAAGTTGATGATGTAGGAGGGGAATCTGAAGAAACCATAGCCCTCCAGCAATGTCGGAATCAAGCCACTCGTCTGAAACAAAACCAATCAATTGTCTTTCAAATTTACACTATTTAGAAAACGAAATTTAGATATGACAAACAGGTTTTACCTTTGGAGTAAACCTCCATGTTTTGGGGTCACTTTCATTCCACGTTGCTTTGACTGTCATGATGTTGCTTTGAATCTGAAGCGGGAAAAAAACAAAATGGAAACAAAGGACGCATGCTTTTTACAAGACGGTAACAATGAGTGGTTGAATGCTGATTAATAAGCTTCATTTTGTCCTATGTACTTTAAATTTTGAGTTCAAAAGTTATATTTGATTCGTACCGAGTTGCCGTCGAACAGGCAAATGTTTGCATATCTACACAGCACTTGCACTCCCTCCGCCGGAAGAGGCACATTCTTCGCTATCAGCAATCTGAATGTCCTCAGCGCCTTAGTCTCCCTCGGCTTCAGAGACGATGTCTTCGAGTCCCAGAACAGATCTCGCATCTGGAACCCAGAGTCACTGATTTGAGGATGCAGTGCCTTTACATACGAGTGACTGGCTAAAATGCACTGAGATATAAGGTTCACCGCCCAAAGTCTACAAGAAATTGCCCAGAAGCCCCTCACGTTTGAAATTATTAAATTAACACTTTTTTAGATTCCAGATGTAATTTTGTTATATTTTGCTGAAATAGTTTCCTTTGTTTCAGTGTTCCAGAAATTTACCTCGCAGTAGAAAACATTTTGCACGCCCATAAGGCTCTGTATTACATCGAACTCACGATCTTCGGCTTGATCTTGCAGATACTTAAAAATAACCTACTCAGGCAGAATTTCAATGTCATATCAACACGCCATATCAATGTTTTAATTCTCATCTTGTTTTTTCTTAGTCTGAAATTAGAGAATTGGCCTCTTACAGTTTTCAGAATGCAGTAATTTGGCAGTCGTGGACGGCCTGAATCCAGATGGACCGCCGCCAAGTGCTGCCACTATGTCAGCCTCCGTTCTCTAAACATAAAATGAACTTCTGTCTCTCATCGAAAGAAAACTTATCTGAGCTGTGGCTACATATTATAATTTAAAAATACGCAAGCGTATTAAACTATGAAAATTTGATATTTATAGAAACAGGCGCAGTTTTATTTTTCATGCCCAAGTATAAAAAAGTAAAAAAAAATTCAAGTAGACGATTTCAAAAGAAAACATTGAAGAAAAGAGGGACATACCAGGGTTCGAACCCGGGAATTCATAATGAAAGGCACTCTCTTTCACCAGGTATTTAGTACTGTAAGAGGAAACTCGCGGGGGCTGAAAAACACCTGGTGTGGGGGGTAAAAATATCACAAAGATTATCCTTAAGTTTTTTTCGGTAAAAAATAGCATCTAAAAAAGTGTCAATGAACGCAAGGAAACCGAAAAAATTACTTATCAGTTTTTTTGAAAAACTTCAGCTTTCGAATTTCAAAGACAAAATAGATGACCTCAAATGTCTTTCAATTTCAAGAACAATTTATGATTGATACAAAACTAACCAGTAATCAAAACAAAAGTCTTAAAAACAAACATATATGAAAATTTCAAAAAATTTGTCTCGACTGATGTTGAGCTTCAGAAAAACACAAAACACAACCGAGTACCGAGCGGCTAGTTAGCCAAAAAATATTTGGGTTGGGTCGACACCAGTAACCATAGAAAATTATTGTTGATAATGAAACATTTAAAACTACTAAGATTAAAAACTCAAAGACGCCCCATCCCTTTCGACTCCTCATAAAAAATAGAGACAAAAAAATTATGTTTCTGAATTCAACCGAGAATAGCAAACATTGTGAAAAACATGAGTGAAAACATACCGAACAATAGCTGAAAAAGAATCAGTGAACACAAGTAAACAGGAAAACAACCTGACTTAGTTTCTGAAAAAATCACAACTGAAAAAATTGATGCCCTTAAAGCTCTCTGAATTTCTAGAGCAGTCTATAATCGGCACTTTTTTTCGTTAAAAATACCCAATTTCAGAAAACTGGATCAAAACGTAAATTTTTTAATTGACTCGGAAATCTGAAAATTTGAACCTTTTTCGAAACTAGAAGTCGGTCACAATTGCTGTGATTCGCTGTTCGACAGTGTAGTTTACCTTCCTTTTAACAAAGGAAATGAGCTGAAGTTAAATGAATGAGAAGTCAATCAGCAAAACAGTAAAATTGAGCCTGCAAAAACATGTACTTTAAAAAATATATTTAGCCTCAAACCTCTTTGAATTCAAAAAAAACTTTATGACCAACATTTTTGCGGTTAAGTTGAACTTACTTGAGAAAACTGGATGAAATGGTAAATTTGTATTTCATTTTGAAATAAAAATAATATTTAAGAATTCTTTCGAATCTAGAATTAGCTCACGTTTTTCGCGCAGTTTTACCTCCCTATTTTGAGAACTTTAATTCAGAAATCTTTTATGATCGATTTTTTTTCATAAACATGACCAACAGACAGTTGGAAAAGAATCATTGAACGCAAATAAACTGGAAAACAACCTGATTAGTTTTTTTGAAAAAATCTCAACTTTCGAACTTCAAAAAAATGACATAGCCTCAATCCGTGTTGAATTCCAAACAAAAATTTTGACTGAAACTTTCACGAGAGAAACTTAAAGATTTAAATATACTTTCGAATCTAGTATTCGTTCAAGTTTTCAGCGCCAATTTTACTATAGGCCAGCTAAAGCTGGAAATACAGGTTTGATAATTTTCAAAATTTTTGTAGTGTTGCGGAAGGACAGAGTAATTTCATAAAACAACCTATTCAAAACCTGTTATTTTCATCAATTAATTCAGTTTTCTTTTTTAAAAAATTGAAGTGATTACCAGAGATTGTTAGGTTGAAGGATGCTTAAAATGTTGCTCAATAGATTTGGGTGGTAGTTTTTGAGAGAAGTCAAAAAGATTTAAGAAACGTTTAAAAAAAATCGGCTGAAATTTGATTTTTCCGAACGTTTTCTGTGTTAAAAAACATTGAATGTAATTGCTTATGCAGGAGAGCTTCTCACTACTCGTCCTTTTGATTGAAACTAAAATCTCAGATTTGGGGGGGTGTAGTTTTTGAGAAAGTCGAAAAATCTCAAAAAACGGTCAGAAACCGAAAATTTGGGTTTTCTGAGGGCCATAACTCTTTGTGTTAAAAAATTGGGCGTAGCCGCTTATGCAGAGGCTACGCCCAATGCCACAATCTGGAAATACCTGTTTGATAATTTTTGTATATATAGGGGAGGACAAGGGTTATTTCATAAACAGACCTATAGCAAAGAAAAGTAAATCCCAATTTATTGACTTAAAACCTGTTAGTTTCATCAATTAATTCCTTCTTAAAATAAATTGAATTGATTACAAGAGCTTGTTAGAATGAAAAAGGCTTAAAAAGTTGTTCATTATATTAAGGTAGTAGTTTTTAAGAAAAGTCAAAAAGTTTTAAAAAACGGTGAAAAAAATTGACTTTTCCGGGGTCATAATTTTTTGTGCAAAAAAAATGAGCTTAACCAATTATACAGTGGAGCTTTCCACAACCCGTTCACACTGAAACCAATATCCTATATTCGGGAGGGTAGTTTTTGAGAAAAGTCAATAAGTTTCAAAAAGAGGTCAAAAATTCGACTTTTCCGAGGGTCATTTTTTGAGCTAAAAAAATGTGGGCGTAACCGCTATTGCAGGGGAGCTTCTCACAGCCCGTCCTTTCGATTGAAACTAAAATCTCAAATTTGAGAGGTTAGTTTGAGAAAAAAAAATCAAAAAGTTTCAAAAAACAGTCGAAAAATCGAAAAGTTGACATATCTGAGTGCCATAACTTTTTGTGTAAAATGGGCGTAGCCGCTTATGCAGGAGAGCATCCACAACCTGTTCTATCCATTGAACCCAAAATTTTAGATTAGAGAGGGTAATTTTTGAGAAAAAGTAAAAGTCCAAAAATTTGGGTAAAAAATGCCCTCCACACAATTTTTCGAAGGCACTAGAAAGTGGGGTAAGGTAAAAAGAGACAAGATTATGCAGGCACACGGGGGAGTAGGCAGACTTTCCACTAGTTTTTAGAAACTCGGAAGAGTCGTTTTCGAGGAAAAATAAATTTTTCAAAAAAGTGAACAAATTTTCCAAAGCGTCTCAAAAAAAAAATAATAAAAAACCCAACTCTGGGAACTTTCTCGTCGTTTCAGAATACTTCAACTTTCGAACTTTACAGAAAAAGTATATGCTCTTAGAGCTCTTTGAATTTCAACAAGTTGTGATTGGTGCTTTTCTGATAAATTGAGACAACTTTGATCAAAAAGTAAATTTTTAATTCGCTGGAAACTCTGAAATTAAATTATACTTACGAAACTAGAAGTCGATCCTATTTTTTGTGACTTTTTACACTTTTGCTGTTTGATAGTGGAGTTTGCTTTCCTCTAAGAATGGAATTGAACTGAACTTCAAAATAAATCAAAGGTCAAACCGCAAAAAATCAAAACTGAGCAAGAGCAATTTCTTTTTAAGGCTTTGTACTGAAAAAAAAAGAAAAAAAATCATCAAGATATATAAAAGTCTTCTTCTCTATGTTTAATTACTCTTAACAAAAAACTTCTCTTTCATAAACAGAATTAAACATGTTTTCCGCACCATCTGCACTTGTAGTAGTGGAGATTTTGATTTGCATTCGTTTAAGCAAATAAATTGAAACTTAAAAAAACTCGTCAAACCAGCTAATGTCAAAGTTGAAAACTAAAAAAAAACAAAGGCATAGCCAACTGACAAAGAGTAACGAACGTAAGTAAAAAGAAAAAAACACTGACTTTGTTGAAAAAATCTCAACTTTCGAACTTCAAAGAAAAAATAGATGCCCTTTGAGCTCTTTGAACTTTTAGAACAATTTATGAATGGCGCTTTTTTTAAGATTAACCCAACGTGAGAAAATTGGATCGATAGGTAAAGTTTTTTTCCGCTGGAAATCTAAAAATTAAATTCACTTTCGAAATAAGAAATTGTTCACCTTTTTTCACGTCATTTCCACGTTCGTATTTGGAGAGTGCTTTTTACGTAACTTTCAGCAGACAAATTTCAATTGAACTCAAAAAGTGCATTTATACCTTAGTCCAATCATAAATGCCTTTTTTTGGATGAATGCACATCTTTAGTTATTAGAGCAATTTAAGACTTTTTCCTGGATTAAAAAAAACCACCAAGACCTATAGTCTTCACTACGTTTATTATACTTAAAAATAAACAGGCAAAACATTACCAACAGAAAGCCACACGAGCTCAATAAGTGTTTTTACTACGTCCATTGACACTTACAAATGAGCCTAGGCTTGTTGTAGATTTCAACGCTTCTCCTAGAAAATCAATACAAATCAGTGAAAAATCATTTCGTACATTAACACAAAGCAAACGATTTTGAAAATCATTTTCGAGTTTGAATAGAAACTTTCGAGGCAGGATAGAAACAATCTCGAGTTTGCAGATTTTAGATCTTTTCCTTGTATAAAAAATAAACAATTTTTGGCGCGTCATCTCCCTCAAAATTAGTACGCGTATTTGTTAAATTTTTCATACATTTAAACACATCAATGCTATATCTAGCCACACTATATAAACTAGAATAAAAAGTGCGAAAAAGAACTATGAATATGAATTGCACCTGTTGTTCCTGAAAAATGGAATAAATGTTGGTTATAAGGAAGAAAATAGCATTAAAATGGAATTCGCACAAACCCTCTCAAATCTCACCTTATGAAGTTGTTTACGCAGTGATCCCCAGCCTTTCAGGTTTCTAAAACAAATCAAACCCAAAAATTAAAACAGCGAACAGACAATTGGAAGAACAATTGAACTAGGGTTCTCTTACCAGTCTTTAATTCGAGGGGTTCAAAATATAACACAGAGGCGAAGCTGCGTTTCGAAAACACTTACGAGAACACGACCAAAAATCAGCTCTATCAAGTGAAATCAGAAAAAGTTGAAATAAGCCTCGAATTAGAAAAACTCGGCTACGTGTCGGGTTCGAATCTTCGACATAGCAAATTCGAGTCTCACGCACTACCCACTCAGCCACGGATGCTTAAAATCTCCAAAACCTAGCCACCAATAACGCAGCTATATATGCTAAAAAATTGCCAATTTGATGCAGCAAGAGAACGGCAAATACAGAAAGACACAAATTTCCATATAAAAAATTGCAAAGCATAAAGCCACATTATGTATAAATTATGCATTCCGAAAAAATGCGAGATATATTGAGTTCGAAAAAGTCTGAAATCGAGCTTTTTTTCATTGTACTGCTATTTGAAAAAAAAATAACTTTTTTCAGTCCATTTGATAAGTTAAAAGTGCATCGGCTCTGTAATTTATTGACTAATCAAATGTCAAATCACATATGTTTTCTACTGAGGCTCTTTTCCAGTTTCCCACCCCCTTGTAAATTAGCAAAATAAAGCTGTTCAAAAATTGTTCACACGGCTTTTTGCATATATAAATGTTGCGAAATTTGTTCACGCTGACACGTTTTAATGCAGTTTTTAACAAAAAAAGTAATTTAAAATAGACTTTCCTTTAATAAATTTCAGACAAAATCAAAGGGGGGACTGGAAAAGAGCCTATACTGCTACCGCATCCTACCGATTCAAAAGTGCCACCAAAAGTAGCACTTTTATTTGCGACTTAGGTTGGAAAAAAAATAAAGTTCGTAGAAATACATTTTGCATCGCAAGTGTAATGAGGTGTTTCAGTCTTGTAGGATTTTCAGGGGTCCCGCAACAACTAATCAGTTGGGATGAAATTTATGCCAAAAAAAACTAGATAAAACTATAAAAACTAAATGATTCAAAACTGCAGAAAAAAATGGGGTACTTATTCTAGGTGAGGGATTTTCTGGGGGTCCCGAAAGCTAACTGGTGCTGAATTTCAGAGTAAAATACCTTTCAAGCTTCATACCAGTTAATTCATTCAGATCGTGATTGAAAATTTTCAGATTTGAAAAATCTCCTATTTCCATGAAAATGTTTCACTGAGCAAAAACGACAAACTCAAAACTGCTAAAAACTCCAAGCAAAGAAGCTAAGCGGAGCTTTGCACCATGACCACTTGCCGTGAAATTAAAAATACAGTGGAGAAGCAGAGCGGTAGAAAAACGAATGACTCACTACTTACAAATGAAACGAAAAACCAAAAAAAAAAATTTCAAAATTATGTTTTCAAAATATTATAAAATGATAAACTACGACAAAATTATGTTTTCATAAAGTTTAAAAAGAACTACTGAAACCCCTGCACCTTTAGAAACTATGCCAAAGGATGCGAAGCAAAGCATCGCACTAGTTGCGATAAAACCTATACATAGCCCGATAAACTAACCGAAAAAAATAGAGATGATAGACGTAGAAAAAAAAACACGGAACATAGCCAACAGACAATTGGAACAGAGTCAATGAACGCTAGTAAACAGAAAAACATATTAACTTTCTCAAAAAAAAATCAAAGAACAAAATAGATGCCTTTGAAGCTCTCTGAATTTCTAGAACAATCTAAAATCGGCACTTTTTCGATAAAATTAACACGATTTGAGAAAACTGGACCGATAGGTAAAATTTTACTCGCTTTGAAATCTAAAAATCAAAATTCTTTTCGAAATTAGATGTATATCACGTTTTTGTGACCTTTTAATTTTCCGAGAAAAAACTTTTATGTTAGACACTTCTTTGATAAAAATTAACCCAATTTGAGAGAACTTTTAGATCAATAGGAAAACTTTTATTTTGCTGGCAAGTCTGATAATTAAATTACATTTTCGAAAGAAGAATTCAACGATTACACTTTCGTTGTTCGATAGTGGAGTTTTCCTTCCTTTTTACAAAGGAAATCAACTGAACTTCAGTTCAGTTCAGTCGTCTTTTCCACCTCGTATGAGGTATTACCGTCTGAGCTGATATTATTGAACTGAAGGTATTGAAGTGAACTTAAAAAGAATTCGACCGCGAAACAGTGAAATTAAACCTGAACATATTTGAAGATTTTGCATTTAAAAACACATCGCGACCTCTTTAGCCTGAACTGCGTTCATCGACGCATTCTACAAAAAACTGTCCTGCATTTATCTTGATTATGCCTAGAAAAAAATCCTTTCATGAACATATATGACGAAGTTAGACAACTTATGTTAAATAAGCATCGAAACAAAACTTATCAAGAGCTAACAAAGCCGACAACTCTTCAGCAGATAAATTGCGTCGAAAAAATCTTTCCATTAGAAAAACTTACAAGTAGAAGTCCCCCGTCAAAATATGTTTATGCTCAAGGGACAACTCAAAAAAAATCCTGTAAGGCATGTTTTATAAGACGAAACCTTTTAACCCGAATAAAAAGGAAGAAAAGAGAATATATATTTGAAAAACTGATTTACTGAAATCAGAGTTGGTTAATTTATACCCAGCGAAAAAACTGCAAATGAAACGGCTATTCCAAATGCAGACATTCTCGAAAATTGTCTGTTTTCCATCTGTCTATCCTTTGACAAGGTAGAGATGGAGATATCCAAAATTGCAGTCTTCCTGTGGCCAAAATTTTTTACAAGAAAAAATTCTAGCACCCGATTGCAAAACCCTTGCTTATTGAAAACATAAAGAAATAGTTTTAATTAATTTTAGAACCTACAAAAATTATCTCCTTTCGAGAACCCAGTATATATTTAAAAAGAAATTCGAATATAAATTAAAACTGTAACCAAAATGCGGGAATATATAGGGCAACATAATAACAGTGACGCCACTTCCTATACTACAGACATAAAAAACAAGGTGAACAAAAAATTTCGTGTGCCTCCCATAAAAGACTATAAGAGAACCAGCTAAAGCTGGAGGTGCGTGTTTGATAATTTTAAAATTTGTAATACTGATGCGAGACGACAACCGTAAATTCAAAAGTTGGAATTCGCCCAAAACCTTAATCGAGAAGTAAAAATTTTTCGAGATATCGGAACTATTCCAACGACGTAACATTTATTTCACAAAAAATTATGGCGTCGCTGCTTCTGCAGAGAAAATTCTTTGACAGGGTAGTTTTTCAGATTTGATAGGGTCTCAGATTTGAAAGGGTAGTTTTTAAGGAAATTCGAGAAGTTTGTTCTGCAAAATACAGGTCAAGGAAAAAGAGAACATTCCCAAAACCGAGCTTCACGGTCGAACACTGAACCTGGAAGTTGGCATGGTAGTTACGAGTGAAGTCAAAAGTTTCCAGAATTGAGGGCCATAATTTTTTCTTAAAACATTGGACATAGCCAATTATACAGGTACACTTTCGACAACCTGTTATTTCAATTAAATCTATGATATCAGATTTGGTGGGATAGTTATCGATCAACGGAAAGTCCAAAAAACGATCAACAAATCAATGAATTGACGTTTCCGAGAATCGTAGCTTTTAGTGAGAAAAAACTTGGGCGTGGCCACATATGCAGAAAAAAAATACCTCAGCCTTTAATTTCGATTGAATCCAAAACTTACTTCGTAGTAATTCTCGAGAAAAGTCAAAAAAAATCGTGTCTAACAATTTGGGCGTAGTTGTGTATGCAAAGGAGCTCCCACAACTCATTTTCGGATTGAACCCAAAATCTCAGATAATCGAGGGCAATTTTAAAAAAATCACAAATTCTACAGAGGCGAAGCTGCGCTTCGCAAATAGTAGAGAGAACACGGCAAAAAGCAGCTCTATAAAAAGCAGCAATAGGAGAAAGTAGAAATAAGCCTCGAACTTTCGATTACGCCTCCGATTCGATCTGCAACCTAGAGATTATGAAACCCATACACTAACCACTCAGCCACGACGCTTAATAAATTACAAACGCTGGCCACAAACAAAACGGAGAACAGATGCTATGAAATTTCGAATAATACAGATCGTGCTTACAAAGAAGTGTTCAATTATTGTCACCGAAAAAATGAACACTTTTAATGAACAGTTTTTTTTGCGAGCTAGGTTAAAAACAGAAGGTTCTTAATAATACACAAACGCTCACTAAAGTAAAAAAAAACTGTCAAAAAATCACAACTTTGAATTTTCCGAGGACCATAAAATTCTGCGACGAAAAAAAATTGGTCGTAGTTGCGTATGCAAAGCAGCTTACCACAACTCGTATTTTAGATTGAACCCATAATCTCAGATATGGCAAGTTAGTTTTTGACAACAGTCGGACAGTTTAAAATTTCAAAAATTTGACTTTTGCGAGATCGATAACTTGTTCAAAAATTTTCGTGGGTGGCTGCCAATGCAGGGGAGCTTACCACTACCCGCTATATTCATTGAACTCCCAATCTTAGCTTTGAATTCCCAATCTTAGCAAAAAGATCCAAAAAACGATCAAACATTTGACAATTCCGAGAGCCATAAAATTATGTGTAAAGAAATTTGGGCATAGCCGCTTATGCAAGGAAAATTTATAAATCTCACGAAAATCTCAGATTTGAGAGGGCAGTTTTTGAGAAAAAACAGAGACGAAAAGGAGTTTTGCATTACTTGTGATAGCATATAAATAGCAATGCGAGCCAGCAGACGGGAAAAGAAAAGAGAACCACTAAGTCCGAAAAAAAACGAAAAAAATTCGAAGAAACCAAAAACTTTAAACTTCAAATGTTGTCTGGAATGATAATCTATAAAAGGGAAAACAAGTTCGACAGCGTTTAATGAAAATTTTAAAACAATTTTCGAGCGAAAAAAAATTGTTAACTATAAATCTATTCCTAACATTTTGTGCTATTCGGAGGAAAGCATAGAAATTGTGGTTTCCTCGAATGACCAAAATATAGGTGAGCAAGCCGATAAGATATAAGTCGAAATCATTTAGGCTTTTGAATTTCGAAGAAAAAATTGATGGTCTTGAGGCTCTTTGAATTTGTAGAACAATTTATTTGGGACACTTTATGTTAAAATCAAAAGGTGCAACTTTCATTTCGCTGGAAAATCTGATAATTAATTTCCATTTTCGAAATTAGAAATCGATCAAGTTTTTCGCAGCCTTTACAACTTTGCTGTTCAATAGTGAAGTTTGCTTTCCTTTTAACAATAGAAATATACTGCGTTTTTTAAAAAAATCACTAGTCAAAGCGCGAAAAATCAAAACTAAGCGTGAACAAATTTGAAGACTTTTTCCTGAAAAAAAAAATCAGCAAGAGCTATATAAGAGTACTCATTTTGCTGTCTCAGGGTTATTCTTTACATCGAGACTAAGCGTGCCCGACACGCTGAGAAATTTGAATTAAATATGAATCAAGTTTCCAAGTGATTCTGTTAAACAAGTTAAAACCCCAAAAAAAATCTCTTCCGATTTGATAACGCTTGCTAATCAAAATTAAGGTACAAATAATCACCTCCACACACTTTTCGAAGGCTGTAGATAGAAAAGTAAAGTCATAAGCGATTAGTGGAGCATGCAGGCTCACAGGTGAGTAGGCGGCCTTTCCAGTTGTTTTTTTTTTTTAAAATCGGAAAATCACGTTTTGAAAAAACTAAAAATTTTGCAAAGAAAGATTCGCAAGCGTTTCAAAAAAATAATAAATCCAATCCCATGCATTTTAATAACAATTTTTTCATCAAACAGGAAATCTAGGCAAACATGCCTTAGAAAAATGATTGTATTTAAAAAAAGTTCAAATCTATAAACTTTCAAGACTAAAAAAATTTCAAGCGTCGACAGAAACTACAAGAAATACCACTTGCAATTACCATGAAGCTTGCTTATAGAAGATCGAATTCGGTGATGTGGCAACTAAATTGATAAAACTTGAGGTGATAAACTCAAGTCTGACAGATCAATTTTACAGGAAAAACTTTGAATTGCATACATTCTGAAAAAATTAAGGTCCGGGTGCGATTCGAACATCGGACAACAAGAAGCAAAGGTAACGAAGTTAACTCTAAGCCAAGTACGAAGGAACGGGTAAGTTGTTAAGATTCAATATTAAAGCAAATTGAAAATTTGTGAAAAAATATTGGAACGAGGAAAAATCAATTGTAAATATACGAAAGTGCAATAACGAAATAGTAAATCTGACCTTTTGAGTTTTTCACGGAACATTTTTGGATCACGGCACATTTTACTAGCTCGCTCGTTTTTCTCGTTCTAAATCGCAGTAAAAATCAACTTTTCAAGCCAGCTTCACAACGGTGAAATTTTAAAAAAGTTTTAAATTTTTTGAATTTCAAAATCGATTGATCCAAAAACCGATTGAAAAGACTTTACTATGATATATCATTTGATTCCATCTGGCATTTAACAGTAGAATTTGATTTTGCAATGATAATCTTTTTTACACAGAGGTGAAGCTGAGTTTCGCACCACTTGCGAGACAAAACAAGAAAGCCGCAAAGTCGGAAAACAAAATCAAACAAACTTGAAAATGTCGAAATTAGATCTATAAAAAGCTACTTTTTAAACAAAAAATCATGCCAGGACAATGGAATGTGAAATAAACATCGGAAGAAAAATTACCAAACTGTAACAAAGCCGGAAAAATTATTATGACTTACCTTGAAAAAAAGGCGAAAAAAAAGTTGTCATTAAAAACTTAACTAGAATTTATATTGAGATATTAAGCATTTCGTGCGATCCACAGGTGAGCAAAATAATGTGTTTTCTTTGAAACGAATCTAAATTAGGTCACTAAGTCGATAAAAAATAGGCCGAAAGCATGTGTTTTGAATAGTTGTTATTCCGTAGGGAAACCTAAACATTAACACAGGCAAAGCTTTGCTTCGCATACACTAGCAAGAACACGACAAAAAAGCTCTATGAAGTGCAATAAGAAAAAGTAAAGCCTCGAATTAGTAAAAATTTGGATACGTCTGAGATTCGAACCTGCATTCTAGAGATTAATAGTATCAAGCACTAACTACGCAGCCACGGACGCTTAATAGGCACCAAACACTAGCCACAAATGAATCAGAGAACAGACAACTTCTACTGCTACAGTTAAAACTCCAAATAAGTGAAAACTATAAACACAGAGGCGATGCGGAGCTTCGCGCCACTTGCGATACAACGTAAACATAGAAAACAAGTCGAAAAAAATTTGGATGTTGAAAAAATAGGTAAACCAAAACTTTCGTATGTCTAGAGAAAAAAAAACAGCTAGGGGTCCAGCTAAAGCTGGAGGTATTTGTTTGGTATTAAATGAATTTTCTATACTGACGAAAAATGTGACAAAAAAACTGCCCAAAACCCCAGTTTTTTCTCTGCTAAAATAAGTAAGAACAGAAAAAAAAAGAAGGAGAAAACCAATTTTCCTAAAAAGATAACATTTCTTTTACACAAAAACTAAGGAGCTGGGGCTTCTGCAGAAGCTATTATTGCAACCAGTTCTTTCAGTTGATATTTTTATCTCAGATTTGATTGAGTAAACTTTAAGACAATTCAAAAAGTGTCTAGAAAACGGTCAAAACGATTTCCAAAATCCATCAATTTTTTCTTACTAAAAGCAGGCTGTGGTCGCTTAAGCAGAGAAGAAAACCAAAACCGGGTTTCTTGATTTAACACAACCTGAAAATTGGCATGGTAGTTTAGCGTTAAAAAAGTTTGCAAACAAACTGCCAAAGCTTCAAAACTTCGACTTGTTTGAAGGTCATAATTTTTCCTTACAAATTGGGCATAGCCATATATAGAGGTAGGCTTCCAACAACCTATTGTTTTGCTTAAACCTATGATATTAGATTTGGCAAAGATAGTTAGCGAGAAAAATTCAAAAAAAGGTCAAGTCAAAAACTGAAAGTCAAGTCAAAAAGGTCAAGTCAAGGACAAAGCTGTAGACAGAGGGGTTAAGTAAAAAGAGACTCTAGGGGAGTATACAGGTACATAAGGGTGCTGGCGGTCTTTCAATTGGTACCCCTTTTTTGAAATTCAGTAGAAGTTTCTGAGAAAAACTATAAGTTTTCCAATGAATTTGGAAACAAATTTCTATATTGAAAAAAAAAGAAACTTCAACACAACGATTGGTAATCATACAACCAACACCAAAAATTCGGGGGGGGGGGGGGGGGGGAGGGCGAGTGTTCAAATTGTCTTTCCCTTGAAACGACCCAAAATTAGGTTATTAGGCCGATAAAAAAAGGCCCGAAATATTTTAAGCCGAGGAAATTTTTTTAAGCGAGACAACAAAACAAAGGAGAAAATACGAAGTCAATGTAAGTAAAATTACAAATTGTAGGATAAATCAAACACTAAAAGCAACATAGGAGAAAAATGCGCGAGTAAAAAAAAAATCTCAAGATGTGACAATAAGACGATAACAGAAATAATAAGCAGAAAAATAATTGGCAGACAACTTTATTCGAAACAGAATAGTTCCCGTTTAAACAAGTTGTTAACCGGAAAAAAGTCAATATTGTGCTAATTGTAAGTGCAATGAAAATTTTTATTTGCTAGTAAGGTAAGAAAAAAAGAAGGTTCGTAAATATACACTAAAATGAAAATACCACTTTCGATACTATAAATTGATCACATTTTTTCGCGCCATTTCAACTTTCAAAATCGGAGAGTGCATTTATCATGTTTTTAGAGCATTTTGAGACTTTCCGAAAAAAATTATCACGGCCTTAAAGTTCATCGGCTCTTAAAAAGCAAAATCAAGCCAACTTGAACAATGAGCAAATAATTTTTTTCAATTTAAAATCCTTAAGAGAAGAGGATAACAATTCAAAATCCTTGTGAGAATGACAACTTACCAGAAGTGTTGTAGTGGTAATAATCACGCGACAAAAGACAAGTTAAAATGAGTTAAAACTAGTAGGCTTACGATCTAGGCGATTTTTCGGTGTCCTCTTTGTCCTGCTTTTCACTGACTGTCGAAACTTCATTCTCATCTTCCTTGCTGTCTTCTAAAACAGATCAATATTGAAAGATACAGTATTAAAAAATTTGGATCAAATGAGCAATCTCGCCATTCCCGCTGTGGGAGGGAGATTGCCCAATATGAGCTTGCACTATATGTTAACACAGAGTCGAAGCTGCGCATCGAAAGCACTAGCGAAAACATGACAAAAAGCAGATCTATACAGTGCAATAAAAAAAATCGAAATTAGCCTCGAATTAGAAAAAACTCGGATTCGATCCTACGACCTGCAATTTCAAGTATCGCGCACTAATCACTCAGCCACGTACGCTTGATTAGTTACAAACATCAGCCAGAAATAAAGCAGAAAACAGATTCTGTAACATTTCCAATGATACAGTGAAATTTCCTTATAAAACATTTTCAAAGAACACTTTTATTTCCGAATTGTGATAGAAAAAAAGAAGGTTCGTACTCATACACTAACGCTCGCGGCTCTCTTCAAGTTTCCCAATCCCCTCGCAAAATTAAAAAAGAAACTGCTCGTAAATTATTCACACGGCGTTTTGCATGTAAGAAATGTAAAAATTTGTTCACCTGTTCACGCTGTCACGTTTTAGTGCAGTTTAAACATGAAAAAAAGCTTTTAAATAGATGTTAATCAAATGAATTTCAGAAAAAAATTAAGGGCGGGGTATGGAAAAAGAGCCAAGCTCGCAAGTGAAATAACCGCTTGAAATTAGTTTGAAAGATGCGAAAACATGAGCCAGATTTTCCAACAATTTTCGAACAACAAAATTCAAAATATCAAAATAATTTCAGGGTGAAAAAAATCACTAAAACTGGTTCGGCTCAATATGCACCAATTTTAGTGATTTTTCTTCACTCTGGAAGTATTTTGTGTCTTAAACAAAAAAATACTATTGCGTATAATAATGATAAGGCGCTGAGGAGATTGATTTTCGGCATTCAGATACAAAGCTAGAGCACCAACCCTGGTAACTTGCTTTCCCCGAGGCGAAAGTCGCCCAAACAAAAAATCGCAAAAGGATATTTATGACACTCGTATACAGCCAGCTCGATTCGGTCAAATGATTGCGTGCGATGAACGCATCAACCCTCTTCGATAACGTATTTCGTTCATCTATCGGTTTACTGTTTTTGCTTGGTGTAGATGGCTCAATTGGAGATTACGGGGGTAGATTGCTCAATTAATCCGAAGATTCAAATGATTTCTGATAATTCAAATGCCATCTTTTTTTCAATCAAAACAGCTATCTCAAAGTTTACTCGCGTTCAATAACGTCTTGGCACTTTTCCAGTTTCCCACTGCCCTCGTAAAATTACAAAAAATTGTTTACTGCGCTTCCCAAAACTAGCGAAAATGCCACGAAAACAGCTTTATGAAAATAAGGCTGGAGTAACTAAGAACAATTCTGCCGGATGCGAAACAGTGACCTAGAGAGTAGGAATCTTATACGCTAACCTCTGTCACGATCGGTTAACAATCAGCAAACAATAGCCACAAACACCAGCCACTGAAATTTAGGAGATCAATATTATAGCAAAAGTGCCACATAATGAGCACTTTTATTTGCAAGTTGGGTTAGCAAAAAAGGTTCATGCTAACACACTGCGCTCGCAAATGCAAAAAAAATTGTTCATACGGCAAAATGAAGAGAAAAATAAAAAAAAATTGCTCACGCTCACACGTTTTATTGCAGTTAAGAACATCAGAGACATTTTAAACAGGCTTTCGTGAATTGAGATTCAGAAAAATTAGAAGGGGAACTGAAAAACGGCCAAAGCCTTTTGTTATGTTTTCCACACATAGGCGAAACAGAGCTTCCCTCGATTTATTTAACAAAAAAAGATAGTCAACAGACAGTCGGAAAAATATTAACGACACAGACAGAGGCGAAGCTGTGCTTTGCAAACAATAGCAGCACTATAAAAACGCTCTATAAGGCAGCTATATTAAGTGCAATAAGAAAAGCTACGAATAAGTCTCAAATAAATAAAAGAAACGGCTACGCCCCGGATTTGAACCTACTACCAACTACGACCTAGAAATTCTGAGTCTCCCGCACTAACCACTCAGCCACGAATACTTAATAACGGACAAACAATAGACCCAAATAAAGTAGAAAACAGACGCTATGCAATTTCCAATGCTAGAGTGAAACATCCTTGTAAGGGAACACTTTTAATGAGCACTTTTTTGCGAGTTAGGTTTAAAAAAAGAAGGCTAGTACTAATACAATAACGCTCGCACGTTTAATCAAGGAATACAAACAAACTGTAATTTTTGGGTTTCAAAGAAAAACTTCATCGGCTTAAATCTTCCACTAAGGAAAAACCTTAGAAATCATGTTATAAAAAAGCTTTCAAGAAAAAAACAGCAAAATAACAGTAAAAATAAGCCATGAAAAATTAAACTTTTGCTGTGCCGGAATCAAACCGGCAACCTGGAGATTAGGAGTCTCGCGTCCTCGCATCTGTGCCACAGTGGCTTCAAAAATAGCTTTTTTTACTGCCAATGCTAAGCAGTAAAATTGCCTTTAAAACCATAGCCAACAGGCAGTTGGAAAATAGTCAATGAAGGCAATTGAACAAAAAAATACATATATTTTTTTAAAAACTCGACTTTTGGATTTCAAAAAAATAGATGCCATTCGAGATCTTTGAAACTATGGAAAAATGTTTGATAGGCAATTTTTCAATAAAACTGACCCAATTTGAGAAAACTGGAAAAAAAATTTATTTCGCTGGCAATTCTTTGAAGTAATTTCCGCTTTCGAAACTAGAAGACGATTAGGTTTTCGCGACAATAACGCTTTTGCTGTTCGATAGTGGAGTTTGCCTTCCTTTTCCTTTTAACAAAGGAAAAGAACTGAAATTAAACAGAAATCAAAAGTCAAACCGCGAAAAAGTGAATTTGAGCCTGACCAAACTTCAAGACTTTTCCTGGAAAAAAAACAAACAAAAAAAATCTTCCCGACCTATATTCACCGAAGATAACCGCGACATTTAATTATCGCAACGACGTTCATCGATTATTCAAAAATAAAAATTTTCAAAGTGCCAGAATTTCATTTACGATATTTATATAGGAATCTTGCGTCCTCTGAATAGAACGGTCGCTTGGCACTCAACTAACTCTAGGCACCAAAACGACAGCTACAGATGCTATTAAATTGCCAGAGCATGGAGATACACAGAAACATCCACCAAATGAGCTTTTTATTAGCAAGTTGGTTTAGAAAAAAAAGGTTACTAAAAACAATTCGCTCGCAAATGCAAAAAATTGTTCATACGGCAAAATGAAGAGAAAAGCTTTTTAAAATTGCTCACGCTGAAACGTTTTATTGCAGTTAAGAACATCAGAGACACTTTAAACAGGCTTTCGTGAATTGAGTTTCAGAAAATTAAGAGGGGAACTGAAAAACAGCTAAAGCTTTTTGCTATATTTTCCACACAGCCGAAGCAGAGCTTCCCACGATTTATTTTAAAAACGGCTTATATTGGAACAAAGCCCATGCGTCAAAATTAAGCCAATAAAACCATAAAAGATTTCAAAAAGTGTCCGTTTAAAAAAATGAAAGTGAACCGACAGAAACTCGGACAAAAACAACGAACCCGTAAAAAAAAAATTGAATTTTTTAATAAAAAATAATCTCAACCTAAACAGTCTTTACCTTATCACTACACAAATGATGGTATTTTAAATGCATTTCTAGAATTTGAGCATGTCAGAAGTGATATTTACCATTCCTATTAAATTGACCATTCTGTCAACTAAGTTGGTTACGGGAAAAGCCTAGTACCCGATTGCAGTACCCTTGCTTATCGCAAGGGTAACTAGCAACGGAACAAAATTTCAACTACATTGAAGGTGACTCACAGCACAAAAAAAAATCAGTAATATGACAACTAAGCCGACCATCTTTGAGCAAACACACTGGAACTGAACCAAAACATAGCCAACTGAAAGTTGAAAAAAGTAATGAACGCAAGGAAACTGAAAAGAAAAAACCAACTTGATTTTTCAAAAATCTTCAACTTTTCAACTTCAAAGAAAAAAATAGATGGCCTTAAAGCTCTTTGAAATTGTAGACTTTATGCTGGACACTTAAATTAAAATTAATCCAATTTGAGAAACTGAATCAATAGGTAAAACTATTATTTCGCTGGGAAATCTGATAACTAACTTCAAAATTAACTTTTCAAAATTAGAAGTCGATCACGTGTTTCGTGATCTTTACAATTTTGCTGTTCGATAGCGGGGTTTGCGCTCCTCTTAACAATAGAAAGGCACTGAACTTGAAAAGAAATTACAAGTCAAACCGCGAAAAATCAAAATTGAGCTTGAACAAATTCTAAGACTTTAAACAATAAAAATCAGCAAAACCTATATAAGAGTCTTCACTACGTTCATTACTCTCAAACATAAAAGGCAACTACAATGAAAACTGCATACAGCAAAAAATTCTACGGCGTGGCAAAAAAGAGGTGTACACAAAGCCGAAAAAAAACAGAAAAAGAATAAGCCGACAATTTTTGTGAAACGGTATATTTTCCGTTTGAAAAAAAAAGAACAGTTCCGACTCAGATTCGAACCCAGGACCTTTGCTGTCCCAGGTGTAATCGTTACCTCCAGACTAAGCGTGCCGGAGACTCCTAGAAATTTAAATTCATTATGAATCAAGATACCAAGTGATTCTGTTAAACAAATTGCTAACCCGAAAAAAGTGTTCCGATTTGATAACTCTTGCTAGGCGCAAGCGTAATTAAAAATCTACAGACTAGTCCATTTATGAAATTTTAAAAAATCTTAGAAAAAAAAACTCCAAAAGTCATTCTTGTTGCTTAATAGCAACACAATATCACGAAAAATTCTAAAACTGAATTAACTCGAATGAAACTCAGCCGCACAAATGAAACAAAAAAAATGCTGATCATTAAGCCGAAAGAAATCGAGATACAACGGTATTCAACCCACAGACATTCCGGCTAAGATTCACTTGCAATAGCCAATAAAACAATACCATTTGGACTTATCTATTTGATTGCATTGTAAATGCGCAATCAAATAAGCTCGTGCTATTTGAAATTGAATCTAGATACACTAATAATAGACCTAAAAACTTGAGCAAAGAAAATTGCTTCTTTACGTTAAAAAAATCTTTGATCTTTGAATAAACGAAGAAAAAATAGCCAAATGTATCAGAAAACAACATTTGTTGATTGATCCGTAAGGTTTGGCTGGTCAAAGAAAAAAGTCTTTTTTTCTGTCCGTAGCATTTTTAGGCAGGTAAAAAAAGAAAACCACAAATAAAGCCAAAAAAAAAGTTTAAAAAAATAAAACCACACTGAATTTCATCAAAAAGTTTAGTACCACAAGCAAAATGACAATACCTTCATCTTCCATGTCTGAATAATCCTCTTCCTCGTCGTCTTCTTCCTCTTCGTATTCCTCTGAATCATATTCGGCTTCATCATCAGCCTCTTCGTCCGCTGCCTTTGTCTCGGCAGAAACCTTGAGCTGCAAAAGAGCCGAGCATTGAAATTTGACCGATAGACATATTACATAGTACACATGAACAATTTTAACAGATTTTTATTACACCATGAATTCAATGTCTTTTTTCCAGTACAGAATTCTCGATCATACATCGCACAGCAGCAAAGCAGAGCTTCGCTCCACTATTTCTGGAAAAATCAATGCCGAGCTTCCAAAAATAACGAAACATGTTTACCGGAATAATTGTACCGGTACAACAGCAAAATATAACGGAACCATGGCTTGCCTAGCAATTATGAACAAAACGGACCTATCTCTAGAGACCAAAATGTTGCAATATTGCTAGATGAAGAAATCAGAAGCTAGTTCATATGAATCTTATTTTTAAAACAGCAGAAGCTGCATCAACAACAGGAAACTATTACAAGACGGGAAAAAAACGAATAACTTTTTCGACAACAAAGTTATCAAAACAGACAACCTTATGGAACAGAAACAATAAGTATTCATTTTTTCAACACTTCAATAAATGTTGATAAGGAACAGAAACAAGCAAGTATTCGACTAAAAACAACCTTATAATATCGGACAGTTCATACAGAACAATTAATCAACAAGATATTGATGCCACTAACCGTGATACGTTTATTTTCCGGCTACTGTAAATGGCCTTAATAGCATTGTTGACAAGCATTCGTTTAATGTGAAACTCAATATATGCATGTGGGACACAATTGTATTGACGGGTGCCTAATCAGAAAACAATCTAGCAAACAGTCCTTAAATATTGAGACATCCATTAATAATATTCATATCAGTTTGTACACATCTCCTGTGAATAGGCTTTTATGGCCGCACTCAAAATAACACTGAACTCACCATATTAAACAGGCTTTTATGGCCGCAATCAAAATAACACTGAACTCACCATACTAAACATTGCTTAGGAAAAATTGTGCTTGCAAAGATTGGATTTTTGTGATGACGGAGAACATCCATACGCCCATGGCATTCAATTATTAGTAGAAATCTCAATGGCTACTTTAAAAAAAACAGTTTAGTCATATCCAAGACTGAAAAAGAAACGTGCAAAATAACTCGCAAACCAAAGGACGTTAAAGTTAAAATTTTAACTGTCAATTGATTGATTTCCAATTTTTGGCATTTTTCCAGTTTTTTTTTGTTCTACTTAGGTTGGTTATGTACTACTAATAATTGCATAATTGTTACAATCAATTTTTTGCGTATCATAAAAAGACTCAAATAAGTCCTGTCAGCCGGTATCGAGGAAAACCCTGTTCGCTTTCATTACCTGCAAGAACTATTAACGAATGAACCACTTTTAGAAACAGGAAATCAAGTTTAACACAGTAAAACAATTTCTGACTAAATTTCAGAACCGTGCAAAAGAAAAAAAAATTGTCGACTTTAGGTGAATTTTTGATAAACACAAATTTGTTGCAACCAGTTATGGCTTCGTAGCAAAACTGCGGGAAATTTTTTTCAGCTAAGTGCATAGTTTTATTCAATTTCCAGGCTCAAAACGGAGAGGATTAAAAAGAGGGAGGTGTTGGAATTTGGACTACATTATAATTCAAAATGCAGATTCGTAAAATCTCGTGAGTGCTGACAGAAAATTCTGTGGAGTCAAAATGGAAAAAAGTATACATACTCAAAGTTTCGAACTGCTCACGCAAAAACCTCTTTTGATACTTTTAACGAACAAACTGTTAAAATTTCTTAAATGATTGCTTCAAAAATGAAAGTTTTTATACTCGAGGATTATAATATAGATCATATGAAAACAGACTAGTCATAAAAAGGTTACGACTCTGTTTCATATTGTGGGTTAATTATACAATTTATTAAACCGATATAACACAGCGGCGAAGCGGAACTTCGCATAACTTGCGATACAACACAAAATTTTTAAAATAATGAGTCGAAAAAATGATAAATCTTGAAAAAAAGCAGGGTCTTCCAAAATTTTCGTATATCTCGATAAAAGTTCATTTTAAGCAAATGTGCCAAGCAAAACATTTGAACACTAAACTAGCACTTGAATGAAACTTGCACAGCGGAAAACAGCCTACGATTTTCGAGCAAACTTCTACTTCCTCGAGAAACTACAGTGAACAATACTTGCAACTTTTATGAAAGTTTCGTACAGCACAAAAAATCCTTAAGGTGGCAACTAAGCCGACGGAGCTAGGGCAGACAAACGAAAATCCCACCATTCATTTTTACCGCAAAACAATTTCACTTTCAGATCTTAGTATGCACAGATCTTAGGGTGCAAAAGCGACCACGTTAACTTTAAGTGTGAACGAACCTGGAAGTTTCATTCATTAATATAGCAAGTAAGATTTGTAAAAGTTGTTTACGAGAAAAAAGTCTAGGTCCTGATTACAATATACTTGCTCTTGCAAGTTTAAGAAAATTATGACAATTAATTGCTAGAAACTGAGACAAAAAATACTTAGAACAAGAAGACGTGAACCGAGAAAACAAACATATCTTTCAATCTTTCCATCGCTAAGAGAAACGTTGGCTGGGTAAACAACAAATGTAAGCAAGTTTTTTACAGCTCAAAAGTGAAATAAATAAGCGACTTGATCTTTACACAGAGGCAAACCTTCGCTGAGCAAGCACTTACGAGAATACGACAAAACGCAGCTCTATAAAGTGCACTGAAAAATTAGAAATAGGCCTCGAATTAGAAATTTTCGGTTACCTCTGAGAATCGAATCTGCGACCTAGAGCTTAAGAGTCTCGCACACTAACCACTCGGTCAGGAAAGCTTAAAAGGCATTAAACAAACACTAGCCCCAAATAAAGCAGAGCACACATGTCATGCAATTTCCAATGCTACAGTGAAATTTCCAAATAAGTGAACACTTTCAATTAACACTTTTATTTGTGAGTTAGATAAGAAAAAAAGAAGGTTCGTAACAAAACACTAAGCTGATCGCAAGTGTATAGAAAAAAAAATTAATACTGCATTAGACGCCGGCGAAACTTTACACGATAAATTCAATGAATAAGTACCTTAGAAAACGTTGAGAAAGTATGAGCAAAACTTTTCCATTTTTAAAACTCTAATTTCTGATCTACATCAGCATGGGGCCTACAGCAAGTTGGAATAAAGCTGAACCATCAAGCCACGCGAACTGAGCCAACAAAAATAAACAGAGGGACGATTATCCGAAAAAGCACAAAAACTCTAGTTTCCAAAAAAAAGGCAAGGCCGGATTCGAATTGCAAATTTTCACCGTCTCAAACAGTTGTTTTACCTCTCTACTTCAGATGCGCCTGATGGTTGATTTGATTTGAATTTATAATTACCAAGCTGTAACAAAGACGAAAAACTCAAGCTTATCAAAAATATCAAGTCTCTATTCACGTCAGAGCACACACACGAGCACAACACCTTTTTTCGGACGTAACGACGCAAGAGCCCACTAAGTCGCTATTAATTGAAAGCCAAAAAAAAATTGAACAAATCGAGCTGGTTAAATTACAACCATTGTGAAAAGCAAATTTCGATTCGGCCGGATTTTTAACATACATAAAACAACTGCAGTTAAAATTATATACAGCTAAAATAAACGTTTTTTAGATGTGGCATCTAAGCCGAAAAAACATACGAAGACAAATGATAAGACGAAATTTTTTTGAAGCGGAACCATTACCGTTTGAAAAAATGGTCCTGGTCAGATTCGAACCCAGGACCTTTGACGTCCCAGGCGTATTCGCTACCACCAGTGTAAGCGTGCAAGAGACAATACAAATTATGAATTCATTATGAACCAAGGCACCAGCTCAATGAGGTCCTGTGGACAAAGTTGTTTACGAGAAAAGCAGGCTGGTATCCATTTGCAATACCCTTGCTATCGCAGCGTAACAATTCCAAAAATGAAAACTTTCATATTTTTTAATAAAGAGGGTCGGTGAAGTTGCTCGCGAGCTTGCTAAAATGAATAATCAAAATTGCTTCGATTACAAAAATTGACGGGAAACCAAAAGAAAAAAGCAATAGAAAATTAAGCCGAAAGAAAAAAATCTTCCGAAAGTTTCTGCAAAAAACCGCCATTAGAAGAACTTGCATGTATCACATACTAACGACCAACCCTATTTAGGCGGCAAATGTAAGTTTTACATAGCATTAAATTTAACACCCTTATACGCGTAAGTAAATTAAGAAATCCCATTACATTTCTGGTAATTTAGAATGGTTGAATCGCTGTGAGGGGGGCTCTAGGACGAGGATCAAGAGAAGTGGACTTAGAACAGATCCCTGATATACACCGACACTCACTTTGAATTTTTCGAGCAAACGGTCAGTACAGTTGGTGTCGGTGTACAGTCGGTGTCAGTCATACGGTCGGTGTCGGTGTTTCTCAGGACTCTGTTCTAAGTCCACTTCTCTTCATCTTCGTCCTAGAGGCCCTCTCACAGCGATTCAATCAACGTAGAGGCGTGCCTTGGGAGCTCCTCTATGCGGATTACTTAGTTAAAATGGCAGCTACGCTTGATGAATGCATCGCTAGACTCAGGATCTGGAAAACTTGCATGCAGAGTAAAGGTCCGCGAGTCATGATGAAAAAGATAACGTTTCTGATCTCAGGCATCGGCCTTGATCTCCTCAAGGACTCTGGGAAGTACCATTGTGCTGTCTGACGTAAAAGTGATGGAAGCAACTGCATTGCTTGCTCTCAGTGCAAATTGTGGGTTCACAAGAAATGTGTTTGCCCCAGATGAATGCCCTTCGAACATGATTGATGTAGACGGCACTACGCTCAATGTTGTGTCAACTTTCTGCTACTTTGGTGACATGCTCAGTGCGGGTGGGGCTGTGATAGTGCAATTGCTGCCAGATGTTGCTCAGCCTGGTGTAGATTCAGGAAACTATTCCCTATACGGGGAAACTCATTCAGAACACGCGCAAAAGTGTACTCTTCTTGTGTTAGATTAACGATGCTGCACGGAAGTGAAACTTGGGGTCCCAACATATCAGATCTACAACGACTTCAACGAAATGACCATTCATGACCCAGGTGCACTTCTTCATAAACTCTACTTCTGTGACATTATCAACGTCCTTCGGAGCAGACGCCTCAGATGGTTTGACCATGTTGAGCGCGCTCCCTCCGCTTCTTGCATCAAAATGTCCAGTAAGATGAAGATCTCCTCCATCAAAAGACATGGGAGACCAAGAAAGACTTGGTTAGATTGTGTGAAAAATGATATTAAGGAACGTTGCCTTCCCACACTGACTCGCAAGACCGTATTTTATGGAGAGCTGCAGTTCGACAATGTCTGGTGCTGCAAACCCCATCTAATGCGACAGGGACAGCACCATAATCAAAAATCGGATATGATGATGATGATTACATATTCCATTCTGAGAACAAAGTTATTTAGGGGATCGCAAGAGTAGATACATGATAAAACTACAAACCTTCAAATAGTTTGAAGGTACCAGGCCTTGTTCACCCCTTGCATTTTTGCAAGACCACCAACCATCTTCTCTAAATTAGGTTAAGAAATAGGACTAGAATGTTACGAGAAGCACTCAAATGTATAATTAACGAATAAACAATGAACCTTTTCAAAATTATGGTGAGCACTTCTCCTTTGTGTATATCTAAATCCCCTCTCAGATCTGTCTTGAAATCGTCTAAGACAATGTACTGCTCTTGCTTAACAGATAATTAATTATCAATACGCCCAAGGTCGAATGCTACTTATCCAGAATGACCTACATTTGCTTCTTGGTTTGCTTTGGACTGGTTTGTTTTGGACAGAGTTGAGTATTCGTTTTCCGGATCCTGATACTCAGTGTATTCTGTATATTCGCTCTTGTCTTCATCGCTCTCTCCCTCCTCGATGTTCTCCGTCACCTCATCTTTCGATTCATTATTAGTTCTATTCTCAGACAAGGGTTCCGTTTCATCTTCCTCGTCATCTTCGTTTTCCTCGTCACTTTCTTCCTCCTCGTCGTCTACTTTAAGATTGCGTTTTTTAATATCCTGGATAACATCTCTAAAGCAAAATGCACATATTTTTACTATCTTGAAGCCAATTGGTAGAAAGATTTTAGAAGTGGAAAATTAAGAGAAAGTTCAAATCACACTAAACTCACTTGATATTATCTGCTATTTCGTGGCCCAATTCAACTTCTTTCTCTGACGCCATTTCCATTTGAGCGAGCAGAAACTCCTGAAACAAGGTCCAACGAGTTCTGATTCTTTTATCAAAACTGGCAAATAACACCTTGTCTATGAAACCAATAAAATCATTGTTTGAAAACAAGATTCTTTCACAATACCATAGATTTTTTGCATAGTTCCAATTCACTATTTTTCTTCTTCTCAAAGTTCTTTTCTTGGTCATCCTCCAGTGCCTCTAAGTCTTGCTTGGCATTCTTGAACTGAGTATAATCATCGCTGCATCTACACAAAGTTATATTTAAACAACAGACTGTTATTCAATTTTAAATATGCACACTGAAAGAGTCGATTAGAAATGACTAAAGGCCAATTCTTACTTCTTTAAGGCGTCTTCAAACTTCAGCTTTGTTTTTTCATTCACTGTTTTTCCTAACCGTTCTAAATCCTTCCAATCACTGTCCATCTGGAGCAGAACAAACTCAAAATTAGCTTAAAAGTTACAAAATAATTGCTTCATAAGTCACAAACGCACCAAACACTCATACCTTCTTCCGAAGAGTGGCTAGTGCCTTGATTTTATCGTCCAGGACGCGCTTTTTGACCATAGCTTCGAAAAGTACAAATAGTTTGATTTACTAAAAAAAATGAAATATTTCATCCCATTTTATTTAATCATGTAACCCATTTGAACCAAAACGTATAATTCCCTGACACGATAAATTAGGCTTATCGGCAACTTTTGAGAATTAGCTGTGTTTCTGTATCGCCAACTATTGACAATCAGCAGTTCACAGAAGGCGTTGCATACCGATGCCCAGCCTTTGTAAATCAAATATAAATATGAAAATATTTGAACCAAATAAATAAAAAGAAGCGAAGCTGAGCTTCGCACCACTTGCGATACAAATATGAACGACTGTGATTAAAATCAAACGTAAATTGAAAAAAACTTCAAAAATTGTTTTTTTTGTCAATAAAAAAATGCAAAGAAAGCCCAAAACATCCGGATCAAAATTGCCTGCATCCATAGAAAATTACAGTGTGCATTCGGAATATTAGAAAAAAAAACCGTATTTTCAAAATATACATTTCTGCTGAATTAAGCCGACAAAAATAAGCAGACCGATGATAAACTAAATTAACCGAAAATTTTCCTATTTGCAAAAAAAAGACGTCTCGACTGGTATCAAACTCCCGGGCTTTATCGTCAAGCATGGGGGTAACAGCAACTTGGATGAAAGCTGAGCCTTCAGACAAGTCTCGCTCTGAGAACTAAGCCAACAAAAATGAACAGACGGACGATAGCCCTGAAAATTGAACAATAGTTTACAAAGAAAAACAGGTCCCGGCAGGATTCGAACCCCAGCCACTTGCGGTCTCACGCAGTAAGTTACCTCTCCGCCAGATACGTCGTGCTACGGCCAGCAATTTAGACTGGTCGTAGCAAAGCACAGTCCCGAATGTTCTGTCTATAAACTGGTCCGGACTAGTTTTGGTTAATGAAATATTGACAAAATACGAATTTTGAGCAGACTGTTAAAAATCGTGTATGGAACTAATCAGACCAATTAATTCCATACACGAGTTAGCCTAATTGTTGTGATTAACTTCCACCACCAGACTCTTCAAGCCAGTTCCAGTTTCCCAACTCCCCACAGAAAGGCACTTGACATACCTGTCAGTAAAATATCTCAGAGGGCGCTCCACAAACAGGAACAAACATCAAATATAACCAATCTATTTAATAAGTTTATCACAACAATTAGGCTTTGTTATGCTTGATGTTTGTTCCTGTTTGTGGAGCGCCCTGGGATTTTACTGACAGGTCTGTCAAGTGCCTTTCTGAGGGGAGATGGGAAACTTGAACTGGCTTAAAGAGTCTGGTGGTGCACCGCTGGACCTACTGAGCTCGGGTGAGATTGTTCCTTGTTTTTGATTTTTGTAAATCGATTTTAAAAGTTAAACTAATTTAATTGTCTTATATTATTTTATTTGCTGATTTATAAAATTCCCACTAACCGCTTATCATGGGTTAGTTCAGTCCTCTAAATTCCAGTCAAAATCCTTTTTTTAACTTTATGCTGCGTCAAGATGAGGAAAAACAACAAAGAGTGTACAGGCAAAGATTGCTTAAAACCTTCAGGACTGATAAATTGGTTTGGATGTGATTGTTGTTCTAGTTGGTATCATATCAATTGTGTAAAAATTTCTCTTAGCGACTAAGAAAACCCAATGGTTTCAGTGCATTTTATGCGTTGATGTAAAATCTGTTAATAAAGCAACAATAGGTAATGATTTAGTGCTAGACAATTATGTTAATACAGCCATCTCAAATGTTCGAGTACTCAAGAGAGTACCAAAAGACTCGCGTGTTCCCTTGGCGGAAAGCCTGCAGGACAAAATAAATGAGATCGTCTACAATGTAGATGTTACGAAATGGTTAATTTTTTTTAACAACGTTCTTGTTTTTTTTCTGTAGCAACCGAAAAGTAGTGGACGCAAATAGACCACAAGCACGAGCTCTTTGATAAAATAAAAAATTCAGGCAAATGACGTGTCACTTCCAAAACCCCATCCTCAAGTTTCAAGCCCGCCTCTGAGTGACCTCGAGCAGAGAATAAAGCTAATAATTCGTAAGTAGTAAGCTCGATAGAGGAAATGTAAAGGGAAGAATAAGGCTTGCTGCTTCGGATGACAAAACTTTGGATGACAAAACTTATTAAATAGTTCATATTAAATGTCTGGAAAATAAAATTTTGGGAATGGGACCAAAATGGAACATGGGACCAAAACGGAGAGAAACCGCCAAATGCGAAAATGATACCGAGGCAGAAGGAAGTGAACACCTCGTGGAATGCGCCGGACCCAACTGTGTTACTTGGGTAGAAGATTGGTTACCTAAGAGAATATCGAAATTTTTCCTAAACGAGAGTTTCTCTGCGGTTTCTGCGCGGCAGTGAAAGTTAACGACCGAGTTAACGAAGATTTGTTAACGAAGATCGTTAAGAGCAAACGATCTTCGTTAACTTTCGCGGCAGCGAAAGTTAACGAAGATTTCGACTCGATCAATCAATGAAAATGAAGAAGAAAAAAACGAGCGACTCGCAAAAGCCAACTTTCGCTGCAATCCTGAAAAACATCAGATCTGAAGAAGACGAGCAGAAAAAGCAATGAACCTTATCATCAGCGGAACACAGCCAACAGACGATGACAAAGACCTAGTTTCCAAGTTATGCACAGAACTGAGCGTTACTGAAAATATAGACTTCAAAATAAAACGCATTGGGAGACAGAATAATGATGGATTTCAGCTATTACTTGTCACCTGCACGCATGAAAAACTCAAGAAAAGACTGCTAGCTGCGTCAAAGAAACTTCAACAAAATTAAGCGAACAAAAGTATTTATATTAACTCAAACCTGACGAAATCAGAAAGAGAAGAACAATACAACCTCAGACAACAACTCATAAAAGCTCGTGCAGAAAATCCCAATACAAAATTCAAGATTAAGGATGGCAAGATTGAAGAAGTTAAAACATCAATAAAAGTATGCACTTGGATTGTTGAAGGTGCTTTTACAAACATTCCATTACTACCAACTGAATCTATTACTGAATATGACATTATACTCTTTACCGAAACATTGGCAGTTCAAGACTTTGACGCACTATTACCTCAGTTCTTCTGTTATTTCTCAAATGCAGAGAAACCAACTAGAGGTAGACCGATTGGGTGTTTATCTATTGCAATACACAGAAGAATCAATTGCTCCCATCACCAAGTTGAAAAGAAAAGAAACATTCTGATAATGAAAGGAGAGTATTTTGCTGCAGCTGTAGCATATTTCCCACCAAATACACCTACTGATCAAATATCACTTGAGATCTGTAAGGCACTAGATACAGTAAAGCACTCAAAACTACTTATTTTGGGAGGCGACTTTAACTGTAGACTCGACGACAATAGCAGACGAGGTTCAACTCTATGCAGAAACCTAGATAAATACAATTTATCTTGTACAAATGATCAAAGCTTACGGACACATACTTGTCACAACGGAAGCAGTGTAATTGATTTACTCTTTATATCCAATTTACATAACACAGAAGACACAGTTGCTCGCGTATCCCAATGCGCAGTTTCAAAACATCAGATGGTAAGTTGTGAAATAAACGGAGAAGTCGAAGTCTGTCTGCAACGGAAGAAACGAATCAAGAAACTGGACGTCAATTAGATTTTGGACTAGAACATGTAAGCAGACATGGACATAGAATCAGGATATTTCAACATCGTCAGCCTTCTGCAAAGAGCATGGGTAGATCCAAAATATCGAAAATCCAAGCCCTGGTTTGATCGCGAATGTTATGATAAACACAAAATATTGAAGAATAACTATGACACAAAAGTGGCATCAACGCTGAAAAGACAATTTAAAGCTCTCTGTCAACAGAAAAAACGTAATTTCCTAAAAGAACAAAAATTAACCATTGTTTACCAAGCTGAAAATGACAAACGGAAATTCTGGAGCATCCTCAACAGCAAGAAACGAAGCCCTGCGCCGAGTCAGGTGCAAAATGAAAGTTGAAAGCAGCACTTTGAAGAATTTTATTCGACCGAGAATGCAGTTATTTTACCTCAAATGGATCCAAATAGTTACAACAATGAACTAGAGAGACTAATTTCATTGCCTGAATTAACCAAAAGTGTAGCGTCACAGCAAAATAACAAAGCGCTTGGACCAGACGCCATTACCAATGAAGCTTGGAAACGTTTGGAGCTCTGTATATTCATATTGTCACTCTGTTTACCAGTTACTTTTGCCAGGCCAGCATTCCTGCACAATAGCGAGATGCGTTTATCTACCCTCTGTACAAAGAGACTGGGGCCAAAAGTGATCCTGAAAAGTTTAGAGGTATCACTTTACTCAACACTATTTACAAAATTTACACAACAATCCTGTATGAGAGATTATATACTTGGTGTCGAATTAATTCCATCGTCCCAGAAGAACAACATGGTTTTACCAAAGGAAAGTCAACCAAATCTAACGACAACTCAACTCAATCATCGAAACTGATATCTACGAGCACAGGCACTGTTACACAGTATTTGTTGATTTCAAGAAGGCATTTGACAACATAGATAGGTTTGTTCTGTTGAAAAAGCTGGTGAAAATTGGTGTATCTACTGGTTTTGTGACTATTTTGTACGATATTCTGAAATATAACGTTTTGAGAGTTGCAACAGAAGGGTACCTGTCCGAGCCGGCAACTCAACGCATTGGTCTTCCTCAAGGAGACAAACTATCACATTTGCTCTTCACTATTTTTATCGCAGACCTACCTGATTTTCTCAAAAGCTGTGGATGTACCTGTATTTTCCATGCAGACGACCTAGTGAATACGTCTGGTGAGTTATACAAGGTGAAAATTGCTTTACACAAACATGGGTTGTACTGCCATGAGAATAGTTTTTAAGTTAATGTCCGAAAAACAAAAGCTATGAAATTCAGGAATGGTGGCAGGCTCAGAAACGTTGACAGACTTTGTTATCTGCGAGAAGAAGTAGAGTTCGTCAATGCAGTTTGCTACCTTGGTGTCACCCTCAGCACACAGAATGTTGCAACAGCTCATCATAAAACCCCGATAGAAAAAGGAATCCAACAAGTAAATCATCTAGCCGCCAAAGTCGATTTACAAATTATCAATTTTACGACAGCTGAGACATTGTTGCACAGTGTCATCTTGCCATCTGCTACATATGGTTTATCACTTTTCATAAAAGAACCCGATTTCTTAAAAATCGGTCATTGGTTACTTTTGGAAAAGGTGTTCCAGAATCTCAAAATATACGTCAACAACACGACTGCTGGAACATCTGTTCAACCACGACTTCCTCGACGTGCACAAAGCTAAACGAGAAGCAAGAAGAGCCATTGGATGGTTCTACTCAAACGGATTCCATCATAAAACATGCAAATCCATTAACTGCTACAGGCTAGAATCGATATGTGAATGCAGAATCTGCGACAAAAAAGCTGACACATTCGATCACATACTGGGAAACTCCATAGTCGACCGAAGAACTGACAAAAATCGGGTCTAGGACAACAAGCCGAAGGGACTTCAAGCCGAAGGGACTTCAGGCCGAAAATTAAACTTTACAAGCACCTCAAATCAATATTTTTTCATCTGTACAACGTTGCTTTTCAAAATCTTACGCTAGTTTAGTCCATAATAAGCGTTATTTATGACAATGAATCACTTAGGATTGACATCCGTTAATAATATCAGCCGGTTTTTGAAATGCATAAATTATAAACAAGAAATTTGCCTTAAGCCGTGTTTTATTTTTCAACTTTCCTAAACATCATTTGGAGGTTTAAATTTTATGAAAACGCTGATAAATACCGACTAAAGATCATGAAAATGAGAAAATCTTCAGAAAAGTGTTCAAATTAATCTTATTTCATGACTTAATGAGAAAAATTTCGGCTTGAAGTCCCTAGTTTTACGATTCGGCTTGAAGTCCCGTCGGCTTGATGTCCGGCACCCACAAAAATCGACTGACAGAGATCCTTTATCTGACTCCTTGATGTTTATTTTACTGCTGTATCTATTTTGATACAGTTTTTGATCTATTTAAATTCAATTCAGTATACTATCAACAATTGTTGTCTAAGCACCCTCAGCGAGCCAAATTTGCAGCTCCAAATCCAGAAAATTTAGATAGTTTTTTCGTAACCGATTTCGACCTATACAAAGCG